TAAAAGATCTAGTCTCTGAACAACTTTGAAATTTAAAATACAGTATTGTTGACTATAACTACTATGCTGTACATTAGATCTTTAGGAATTTGGCTGTAAATATTACCCCTAGACAACATCTCTCCTGCACTTTTATACCCCTATTACATTCTCAAAGTTTTTCCATATTAACCATACAATTTATTCATTTTTCTCATGAATCAGTTTAGGATCCATTAATAAGTAAGGTTTTTTTTAAATTCTAATTTTACTCTTGAAGTTCTAAGAATTCACTCAACAACAAATATTTTTATTATTTAACAATACAATTTATAGCTAACACGTGGCAAAATAATACTAAGGCTTTGACATTATGATTATGTTAATTAAGTAGAATTGCAGATACTTAGATATCAAAACAATACATCATTTAAGATGTCTAAAGCCTAATCCTGGCTGGTTTGGATCAGTGTTTAGAGCGTTGGCCTGCGGTCTAGAGAGACCCAGGTTCGGTTCCCGCTAAGGGCATGTACCTCGGTTGCAGTGTGTCCCTGGCCCTGGTTAGGTTGTGTGTGAGGCAGCCACTTGATGTGTCCCTTTCACATCTATGTTTCTCTCTCTCCCACGCTATCTGAACAAAAAATGGAAAAATGTCCTCGGATGAGGATAAACAAACAAACAAACAAAAAAAGATGTCTAAAGCCTAAATCAGCTGATGGAGAAGAGTAAATGCAGTTCCCCATCTGGAGAAAGATTTTCTATGGTCCTGAAAAATAGGCAAAGTGGAATTATGCAAAAAAGTAAAAAAACAAAAAGAGAAAAAATTAATGATCCCTCCTTTTTAAATAACATATCCTTTTTAAATAACATACTCTGTCATCACTCCAAAAATATAAAGCTATACTTTAAATGTCAGAGCCAAAATGTAGGGGGAAAGAATTAATTATATCTTATTTCACACATTGTTTTAAAATGTTGATGGTTTGATGACCTGAGAATACTAAATGTATATATGTCCCCAAATGTAATGGTAACAGGAATTACTGGTAGTTACACTTAAAAAAAAACTGAAAATAAATCTATTGCCAGAATTCTCAGATATCAGAATATTTATTCAGCATCTTCAAAATGAACAAAACCAACACTATCCCCAGGGAAAGTATAAAAAGAAAACTAACAAGTTTAAGAAAAAAAGCACAGTATTTTAATGAAAAAATTACATTATAACAAGGACATTATACTTTAAGGTATACACATACACACGCATGCGCACACACACATTTTTAAAACTTAAAGAAAATCCTGGTACAAATTAAATGACATCTTTCTCATACTCACATGATTAAGTATGTATTTTGACAGAATATAAAAATGAGATAAAAGCTGGTGGGCCTCAAAATTAGAAACTTTAATGCAGGACCAGATCCCAAAATTGAATTTCTATCATTTTGTAACTTTTTGAAAATATTTACCTGGCATAAATATACATGTTAATTTTTTTTATGTATATCAACTGCTTACACAGAAAATTAGTATTGAGGAAAATGCCCACCATAGCTGTGTTTATCTAATTCATTGTAGTATATATAAAGTTCACTTGGAAACTTGGAACATAAGAACTACAATAAAGAAACAAGCTCAACTGTAATTATGAATTTCTAAGTGCTTATTTTGAATGTCCATCTTAATATCACAGATATTACACCTTGTAATACATGACACAAAAGAGCATTTGTCAAACTTTGCTGTGGAGCTGTTAGGAGAATGCCAAATATAGATACTGAAAATTTTATGCACTTGCATTCAATACCCTGCACATTAAAAAAAAAAAAAACTGAATATTTAAAATATGTAAACATACTTTACAAAAAATACATGCTGCCCTGGCCAGTTTTCTCAGTGGTTAGAGCATCAGCTCTTGGACTGAAGGGTCCCTGGTTCAATTGCCACTCAATGGCACGTACCTGGGTTGCAGGAAGGTTTGATGCCTGGCCCCAATAAGGGTCAGTGGGGAGGCAACCAACTGATGTGTCTCTCTCACATTCATGTTTCTTTCTCTTCCTCTCTCTCTCCGGCCCTACCATTCTATCTAAAAATCAATGGAAAAATATCCTTGGGTGAGGATTAAGCAAAAAAAAAAAAAAAAAAAGCAAAGCTAAGCACCTTTAAAATACAACACTGATATACTGTGACTGAATATGCATTTAGAGGACAATGAACTTTTAAAAACTAATTTAGAAACCATTTTTAAAGAGCTATTATTCATTGAATACTTACATGAAAATATTGATAGTTCCAGTTTCTACCTAAAAACCAAGAGAGTATATAATTAGGAATTTAAACTTCCTCCATACACTTTTCTTTTGTTTTCGTTTATGGGGAAGATGCACGGTAACTTTCTGTCCTCATTATAAAAAAAAATAGTATCAGAAGAGACATTCACAGAGAATGAAGTGAGAGAAATATTTTAAAACTATGTTTTGGCAAGACAAATATTTTTAAATTATGTTTTGTTCAGTAACTGACTAGAGTTTGTATCTTAACAAGCATTTCTCCTTAGCAACTCAACATCAAAAAATAAAGGAATGTTTCCAAAGAAATATAGTTCAATTGATAAAATATTTAATAATAAATTGTCATTGATGAAACATGAAGCTCTATTACATAAAATCTTGAAAAGAGTTTCCATAAAAACTAGAAATAACAAATGAAAAGACCATTATCTGCAATGCAACACTAAACTATAAATTAATTTGGACTTATTCCCTTTAAGTTTGCACAGACAAGAGAAATCTGGGTTTGAGGTAACTAAGAGTTGTGTTTAACTTAGCATAACATAATAGATTTGGCAGCCTAACTCTATAAATGCTGGCATCAAATATTTTCATTTAGCCCTGACAGATTGGCTCAGCAGTTAGAGCGTCAGCCAGAGGACCAGATAGTCACAGGTTTGATTCCAGTCAGGGGCACATGACTCAGTTGAGGTTCAGTCCTCAGCGCCCTGGTAAAGGTTGTGTGGGAGGTGGCTAGTCGATGTGTCTCTATGACATAGATGTTTCTCTCTCTGTCTCTCTCTCTCTCTGTCTCTCTCCCCCTCCCACTCTATCTGAAATGGAAAAAATATCCTCAGGTGAGGATTAAAAAATATTTTCATTTATTAGGAAAATGATAAACAAGTCTTACTAAAAATCATACATGTAACTGAATATTAACTTTGCATTAAATAGGGGTTTAAATAATACATTTTGTATTAAATAGGTATAAATCTAAAGGGCAAGGAATTTCAAAATTCCACCCACTTCTAATGTAACAGTGCTTTATTCTTACACATTTGTGTACCTGAAACTATTAAAGTGAATTAAGAATGGGAGATTGGGTCCAGCAGGTGTGGCTCAGGGGTTGAGCGTCAACCCTGCACCAAGAGGTCGCTGGTTTGATTCCTGGTCAGGACACATGCCCAGGTTGTGGGCCCGATCCCCAGTGGAAGGCATATAGGAGGCTGCCAGTCGATGTTTCTCTCTCCCTCTCCCTTCCTCTCTCTCTAAAGTCAATAAAGGACAAAAAATTTTGGAAAAAAAAAAAGAATGGGAGATTGGCACAGCCAGTGTGGCTCAGGGGTTGAGCGTCAACCCATGCACCAAGAGGTCACCGGATTGATTCCTGGTCAGGGCACATGTCCAGGTTGTGGGCCAAATCCCCAGTTGGGGGGCATGCAGGAGGTGGCCAATTGATGTTCTCTCTTATCAATGTTTCTCTCTCTCCCTAAAATCAATAAAGAAAAAAAAAAAAAAAAGAATGGGAGACTGAACTTAGAAATGCCAAAAAAAAACAAGAAAACAAAAAAAGCCCCTCATATTCATGTAAAGTATTATAGTTAAATTTCATATTATATTCCGCATGCTTTGAATATTAAACATTAATATCCATTTGAAATCCTTACTACTTTTACTATATCCACAAGATGGTCTCTGAGGGGGAAAAATGTCTTTAGGTTGATTTCTTGTCAGTTATAATTGATGTTTCAAGTTTGCCAACCTTCCAGAAAATAGAAGCTTATATTCAATATATGAGGTAAATATACTTACTCAACAAGCAAATATATATAACACATTAGTTGTTTTAAAGTTTTAATATAAACTAAATTTTAAACTATAAATATTTACCTTGAAATATTATAAATCATCAATTCAGTAAAAAGTCTGGCATACAAAAATAAATACAACTCAAATTCTTTTCTAACCAGAGCTGAATCTTCACTATAAAATAGGAAAAAATCCTCTGCCAATTTCAAAAAGTTCCCCAAATTTTCTGTAAATTCTTTCAGAATGCTCTCAATTTTTACATTTTTCTACCCATAAGTAGAGTTGTATTACAATACTGCATAAATCCATGCAATATACATATATTTCTGTTGCCTATTTGATTAATTCGTTAAAATTCTCAGTACTGCCCTAGCTGGTTTGGCTCAGCGGTTAGAGCGTCGGTCTGCGGTCCAGAGATCCAGGTTGAGTTCCCGCTAAGGGCACGTACCTCGGTTGCAGTTTGTCCCTGGCCCTCGTTGGGTCGTTCAGGTGGCAACCACTTGATGTGTCTCTTTCACAACAATGTTTCTCTCTTTCTCTCTCTTCCTCTCTCTCCCTCCCACTCTATCTGAACAAAAAAACGAAAAAATGTCCTCAGATGAGGATAAAAAAAAAATTCTCAGTACTTACCAAGATCCTTTAAATTTCTACTACGTGACTATTAGTATGCTATTGGTTTGTAGTTACAAGTATAAAAATCAGAATAAAAGAAGATAAAATGCAACTACACAGTTTCCATAGATGTGAATGCTGGGCTTTGTGATATAAAGTAAAATGAATTGTTTTATTTTTCCAAATGAGAAAGACTATAAATCTTCTCTCACCTGTCTGCCAATTTAAAAAATTTCTTCACAACTTTAAAGAGAAAGTTGTTTTAGAAATAAAAAAAAAAAAAAAAGTCATATCGCATGCACACACACACACTCACTCACATCGTTTTTGTTCTTTTTCATTTCTAAGAGCCAAAATAGGGTATTTCCAAGGAATAAGTTAGATAACTGTGTTCAGGCTATATTACCATGGATAAGTTCAGATGACCTTCTGAAATACTGGCCTTATCAGATACTCAAAAAGCATAAAAATTATACAAAACAAGAGGTAAAATATCTCTTAAGGTAAAACTATGGAATTGTCAACAAATATATCAGTTTTAAATCAAAGCTGCTCATTGAACCAGTCTTCAGTCCACTTATCACATTGCTGAGGTTTGACAATATTCACCTTCTGTTCTATGACATCAGAAGTCACCAGAGTTGTACAATTCTGAAAAGCTTCAACAATTTATGTAGCAGATAATTTCTTACAGTCCAAATTTATTTTTGCTTCCACAGACAATCCTGGTTCTTTGGGTTCTTGTTTAACTTGGTTCACAGAAATGGTACCTTCTGGATTTTCTTCAACTTTAAAACCAAACATACAAGAAAAACCCTAAAGGTTAATACAATTTATAACACAGGGATCTCTACAATTATATGAATTTAGAATCAAAGCATAAAACAATAGTTTGAAAAAAAGAACAAAGTAATTTATAAAAGTAGTTATGCATTTGAGAATTTAGTGCTTCTGACATCTTAATAGTCATTCATGTTAAATTCCTTCAGTATGCTTCTAGTAATAAAAAGAGAAGAGAGAGAGACAAGAAATCTATAAAGTCATTCTCCTCTAAAGATACTTTGATAAAAAAGCAGTCCATAGCCTGGCCAGTATGGCTCAGTGGTTGAGCACCAACCCATGCACCAAGAGGTCGCCAGTTTGATTCCTGGTCAGGGCACAGACCCAGGTTGTGGGCCTGATCCCCAGTGGGGGGCATGCAGGAGGCAACCAATCAATGTTCTCTCTCATTGATGTTTCTATCTCTCCCTCTCCCTTCCTCTCTCTCTAAAATCAATAAAGAAAAAAATTAAACACCAATTTTAAAAAAGGCAGTCCATGTGATAAAATTATAAGAAATCACTATTATTTAAACATAATCGTCTGTGAAAGCATATGTAACTCTAAGTCAGAAAGCCTCCCATTATTTCAAAATTATTTGTTTTGCCAACAGCAGGCATATGTATCACAAATTCACAGATGTGTTACCATTCCCTTATGGTTTCCACATGTGGTCATATATTAAGCAACTGTTACCTCTCTAAAGAAACTTCACTATAGCCCTGGCCAGTTTGGCTCAGCAGTTAGAGCGTCGGCCTGCAGTCTGGAGAGACCGGGTTCAGTTCCTGCTAGGGATGCATACCTCGGTTGCAGTTTGTCCCCGGCCCTGGTTGGGTCGTGTGGGTGGCAACCACTCGATGTGTCCCTTTCACGTTGATGTTTCTCTCTCTCTCTCTCTCCCTCCCACTCTATCTAAACAAAATATCAAAAAATGTCCTTGGGTGAAGATTAAAAAAAAATACCTCATCTCAAATGATAGTTCTGCATGAGCTATGTGTTTGATCTAAAATATTTCAGAATGCACTAGAAACACTGGCAGTGTGGAGTGGCAGTTGGAATATCTAAGATAAAATCTTTCTCCCTCCTTCTCAGGAATATCAATGTTTCAGTTGCTATACAGAATTGAAGTTAAAGGGACCGACCATATGTGCTTAGAGAAGTGTGTTGAACACACCTCATGCATGTCACATGGGTGTGTTGGAGTTTAGCCCAAGCCATAGAGAAAACCAGTAGAGGATGGATTTAAATGACCAGGAGAATAAATTCTGGTCAAGTAGTCCTTCAGGTCATGAGCTAACTTGATAAATCATGCAAGTTCAGATACATTGAGGGTCTCCTTTAAAGCAATTTGATTTAGAGATCCCAGAAATACTCTGGCACAATACAGAGGGAGGACACATATTAGAATGGAAAAGCTTTGGAGGTGGTTAGATCTAAGTTTAAATTCCTTGTCACTTACTAGATATCTTAGGCAATTACTTAACCTCTTTGAGCCTTGGTTTCCTCATCTATAGAATATGGACACTATCAACTATTTTAAGAAGTTGTTATAAGGATTCATTCAAGTATATCCCTTTTCCTTCTCTTCTACATAAGTTCCTCATTAGTGACAACTGTCATAGCCCTCTGGATAAATTTTCTTAAAAGTAATACTTCCAGCCCTGGCCGGTTTGGCTCAGCGGTTAGAGCGTTGGCCTGCGGTCCACAGAGACCCGGGTTCGGTTCCCGCTAAGGGCATGTACCTTGGCTGCAGTTTGTCCCCGGCCCTGGTTGGGTCGTGTGGGTGGCGGCCACTCGATGTGTCCCTTTCACATCGATGTTTCTCTCTCTTCCTCTCTCTCCTTCCCGCTCTATCTGAGTAAAAAAATGGAAAAATGTCCTCGGGTGAGGATGAAAAAAAAAAAAAAGTAATACTTCCAATAAATTTAAAAGACAATGATTCTTTTCTGGAAAGAACTATCTCACACTTTTCCTTACCCAAAAGAATGATGATTAAGAATAGAGGGAAGCCCTGGCCAGTTTGGCTCAGCAGTTAGAGCGTCATCCTATGAACCAGAGTTGCACGTTCAATTCCGGTCAAGGGCAGGTTACCTCAGTTGCAGTTTGTTTCCAGCCCTGGTCAGGGTCATGCAGGAGGCAGCCAATCAATGTCTCTCTCTCTCTCACATCGATGTTTCTCCCTCTCTCCTCTGTCCTCTGTCCTCTCTTCTCTCACCTCTCTCCTCTCCCCACCCCCCCTCTATCTGAAGATAAATGGAAAAGTATCCCTGGGTAAAGATTTAAAAAAAAGAATGGAGGGAAAATATATGTTCTAAGGATAATTTCTATGAAGATTTTGCTCTTCAAAGCAAACTGCAAATCTTTTCCCACTAAATTGCCCAATCTAGAACAATTTGTGGAAAAAGAAATTACAGGTCAAGTAGGAGTTAACAGTTATTACTATGTTGACTGGGCTCACTACAAAGTGAAGGCAACAAAGTCATGTGTTAAACCCCAGTCTCCAAGTCTTACTAGTTTCCCTGCAATTTCCATAGAATTCAATATTTAAGTCCATAACTCAAAATTTTCCTTTTAATCTTTATATCTGCCCACTTCATACATTTTCATTGTGTGTATATTAATTTTTTCATAACCTTTACACTAAATACTTTTCCTTTCAAAGTCTCTTTAATGTTTTTCATGCATTATAAAATGACCTTTCTGATCTGACATTGCCACAGATTTTCCATGTAAAACTAGGTAATGAGAGAATGAATACTTACAGTGTAGAAAAAACTTTTAAAAGTTTAAAAGTTATTAAAACATATGCCAATAAAAAATTTTCCCTTTTTCTTGGAGTTTTACTTGATTTATTTATATATAATAAGCCCACTGAGTAGAAATGATAGTTTTATCTGTAATGTAATAGTGATGGTAGCCCATGTTTTAAAAAATCATAATTTGATTTTAACTTACTAAGAGCTGGGTGGCTGTCTATAATCTGTATTGGAATGGTCTGCACATTTCCCAACAGAATTCGATGAATGCTTCCTTCCAGATTCTCTGTATCCTCAACATTTCCAACGTCTACCAGCTGATCCACTGCAACCAGATTTTGATCTAGTCCTGGAAGGTTACCCATGGTAGACGCAATACTATTGTTTTGGGTAAGGCATGTATCTGTTTGATGGCTATGACTTTGACCAAGCTGTAGAGAATTGTTATTCATTATAGTACTTCCTACTGAATCCAGAAGTCTTGAAGGACTAGAGGAGGGGTGGTTATTTTCTGATATCAGAGCCGGTGATCCATCAGGAGAAGTGAATCTTGGTTGCAACTGTAAACCCTTTTAAACCAAAAAGAGTTACATCAAAATGTTTGAATTTACTATGCAAATTCTCAAAGGCTAGATTATTCTTTTGATACAAAAATAGAATAAAATATAATAGTATAATTGTAAATACATATTAAGTGAGGACAAAAGCAAGAACCAAAGGAAAAGTAGGACAACTAAATTTTATTGCATGCATAGTCAACTCAAAGTTTTCAAAACATATTGCTTAAATTATCATCTTAAATCAAGATACAAAATGTCAGGAAATTAATAATGAAAACAACTTTGATCATTATTATAATTATATAACAAATCTATAAAATCCCTAAGAGAAGAAGGTGGGAGATTGAAAAAGAAAGAAAAGGGCCTCAAATTTGATTATTTTACTGAATTTCTACCTGTAGTTGTGTGAATATTTTTGGCTGAAATGAAGAAAGTGAAGAGAGCAAAGGGGCTGGTTCTGGAGACAAAGAACCCTTTGTCTGATTTGTTTCCACTTTGGTGGTAGTTGATTCTTCAGGCAAATTTCCTAAATTATATAAAAAAATAAAATAAACTATTAAAACAGAAAATGTATGGCTTCTAGGATACTATACTTTATTACAACCCTATCAGGAAATAAGCTCAAAGGTTTGAAAAGGAGTCTAAAAAGTTATCTAGTCCACTATTTCCCAAACTTAGTAGATAATCATGATCACTAAGTAAAGTTTAAAATACATAAATTTCTAGGATCACCCTCTATGAAATTTAATTCAGTACATTTAGGATGACATAGAAAATGATTTTTTTTCCTTGAAAGACTCTACATCTGTAACTCTAATCAAATCCATTTTCCATGCCATGATTCTGAATTACACCTAAACTTCTCTAGATGTGGAAAAACTACTGAGCTTCTCAATAACAGACCAAACTTAAAACATCTTTGGTAACCCTAGTGCCCAGGACAATGCCTGGTATAAAGCAGTCCTCAATAATAACAGTATTAGATTTTTTTCAATAATTCATTAAGAAATAAATACAAATAAAAATCTGTCTTAATATCTCAATTTTTAAATTTCCCTTAGGGAATTTAATTCCTTCTCATGTAATTCTTATGTTAACTCAAAAACATTTATCTCTTTAAATCAATCAAAAAACAATTACCAATAACTATTGTTTTCATACTGGCTTTTGAGTGATTTTTTAAAAATGGCACTGGTGTCAAATAAGGACAGATTGAAGCACTGGCTTTTCTCTGTAATCTTCAACATGCTATTTAACCCAGTTTCTAAATTTCAGTTTCCTCATCTGTAAAATGAGAATAATAAGAGAATCTCCCTCAAAAGACTACTGAGAGAATTAAACAGGACTATCACATTTATTGGCTTCTTCATTTCTAATTGCCCTTCTACTTCACTCTGCTACTAGTACTATGGTCATACCCTGGACTATTTTAGATCTAAAAATCTCTAATTCAAACATCCTATTCTCTTACGGATTATGCTCAGGTACTCCACAACAACTGTTCTTCAACCTCATGTGAACTTCCAGTCAAGTGATTCCTAGTTTTCTTCAGATCCACCAACCTCTTCCTTAATAAAACTCTCTCCCCATTCAACTTAGCATCCTGGGTTTATTATTTTAGTCACACTTTTGTAAATATCATAAACTCTGTTCCCACTCTGTCCTTTGGTCATATCCACTTGGTAAAATAAAAACTTGATGAAAATGACTTCCACCGCCTATAAATGTGAAGCCAAATGCTACCCATTCATGATCATCAACATCAACCTGACCGTCACCTGTATCTGACAAGTTTACAATGATTCTCTGACTCTATATTAAGAATCTAATCTCCATTTTCCTAAAATCATGGCCACCATTCCTGAAATCTTGTCTCAATCTTAGCACTCTTACGTAAGAGGAAAGAGAAGCTATCAGATAGAAATTTCCTCAACTTCCCATCACCAAATCTATCAAGTACCTCAATCTTCATCTATTTCTTCAGATCTCTCCTGTCTTAAAATGCCTTTCCGCAACTCCATACTCCCTTCATAGCAAACTTTTTGAAAAAGTGGTCCACAATAAACATTCAAACTCAGCATAGGGAACCATAACCTGCAGAACATTGATATCCACAGGAAGATTTTGGCAGGCTCCAAACCCTGCTGAGACAGCCTAAATGGTGAAACAAAGAAACAAGTCCCAAATGAAAGAACAAGAAAATTCTCCAGAAGAAGGGCTAAATGAAATGGAGATAAGCAAGTTTTCAGATATAGAATTCAGGGTAATCATTACAAGGATGCTCAATCGCATAGAAAAGATATAGAAACAATGAAAACAACCAATTGGAAATCAAGAATGACACAGCAGAAATTAAAAACACATTGGAAGGAATAACCAGCAGATTGGAGGAAGCTGAGGATTGGATCAGCAAATTAGATGACAGGGTAGAAAAAAAATCACTCAATCAGAGAATCAAAAATAAAGAAACAGGAAGACAGTATAGTATAAAAGAGCTGTGGGACAGCATAAACATTACAACATCTGCTTCATAGGAGTACCAGAAGAAGAAGAAATTGAGCAAGGGTTAGAGAATCGGTTTGAAGAAATAGTGGCAGAAAACTTCCCTAACTTGGTGAGCAAAAAGGCATACAACTTCATGAAGCAGAGAGAGTCCCAAGCAAGAAGAACCCAAAGAGGCCCACAGTGAGACACATAATAATTAAAATGCCAAAAATTAAAGAAAAAGAGAGAATGTTTAAAGCAGCAAGAGAAAAGCAACAGGTTACCTACAAAGGAACTCCCATAAGGCTGTCCGTTGATTTCTAAACGAAAACACTATAGGCCAGAAGGGAATGGTATAAAGTAGTCAAAGTAATGAAAAACAAGGATCTGAATCCAAGACTACTCTATCCAGCAAGGCTATCCTTCAAAAGAAGGTGAAATAAAGAGCTTCCCAGACAACAAGGGCTAAAGGAATATATCACCACCAAGCCAGCACTGGAAGAAATGTTAAAGGGACTGCTATAATAAGCAAAAAATATATATAGAGAGAAACATAGGCATAATAAATAAAAATGGCAGTAAATAAGTACATATCAATAATAATCTTATATGTAAATGCATTAAATGTTCCAATCAAAAGACACAGAGTAGCTGAATGGATAAAAAAGCATGACTCAAATATATCCTGTCTATAATAGATCCACTTCAGAAAAATAGACTCACACAGGATGAAAGTAGAGGAGTGGAAAAAAATTTTCCAAACAAATGGAAACAACAACAAAAAAAGCTGGGGTAGCAATACTCATATTTGATAAAATAGACTTCAAAATGTAGGCCATAACAAGAGACTAAGAAGGTCACTATATAATATTATAAGGATTGATTCAACAAGAAGATATAAACATATATGCACCCAATATAGGAGCCACAAAACGTATTTTAAAAGCTTCTGGAGGACTTCAAGGGAGAGATCAACAGTGATCCAATCATAGTAGGGGACTTCAACACCCACTGACATCAATGGATATATCCTCTAGACAAAAATTAATAAGGAAACAGAGACCCTAACTGACACACTAGATCAGATTAATTTAATTGATATTTACAGAGAATTACACCCCAACACTGCAGAATAACAGTTGTCCCTCGCCACTTCGCGCTTCAACTTTCGCGGCTTCACTTTATCGCGGTTTTTTCAAATGTAGTATTTGAAGGATCAAGGAAGAAATAAAGAACTTCCTGAAAATCAATGAAAATGAACACACAACACAAAATCTATGGGAACAACGAAAGCAGTCCTGAGAGGGAAATTCATGGCATTACAGGCTTACCTCAAGAAACAAGAGTCCTGGCCAGTTTGACTCAGCGGTTAGAACATCGGCCTGCGGTCCAGAGAGACCCGGGTTTGGTTCCCGCTAAAGGCATGTACCTCAGTTGCAGTTTGTCCCCGGCCCAGGTTGGGTTGTGCGGGTGGCAACCACTCGATGTGTCCCTTTAATGTCGATGTTTCTCTCTCCCTCCCTCCCACTCTATCTGAGCAAAAAATGGAAAAATGTCCTCGGGTGAGGATGAAAAAAAAAAAAAGAAACAAGAAAACTTTCTAATAGACTTTCTAACCCCACAACTTAAAGAACTAGAAAGTGACCAAAAAGAAAAACCCAAAATAGAAGGAAAGAAATAATAAAGGTTAGAGTGTAAATAAATGACATAGAGACTAAAAAACAATAAAAAAAGATCAGTGAAACAAAAAGCTGGTTCTTTGAAAAGATAAACATGATTGATGAACCTTTAGCCAGACTCAACAAGAAACAGAGAGAGAGAATCCAAGTAAACAAAATCAGAAACGAAAGAGAAGTAACCACTGACACCACAGAAATACAAAGGTTTGTAGAAAAATACTATGAGCAATTATACGCCAACAAATTGTACAACCTAGGAAAAATGGACAAATTCCTAGAATCATACAGACCTCCAAAATTCAACTGGAAAGAATCAAAAAACCTGAACAGACCAATAACTAAGGAAACAGTAATCAATAAAATCCCAGCAAACAAAATCCTGGGCCCTGATGGCCTCAAGGATTAGTTTTACTGAACATTCAAAGAAGAATACCTATTCTCCTCAAACTATTCCAAAAAATTCAAGAGGAAGACGTCCAAGCTCTTTTTATGAGGCCAGCATAATCCCAATTCCAAAACCAGATAAGACACTACAAACAAAGAAAATTACAAGTCAATATTGCTGAGGAACATAGACGCAAAAATCCTCAACAAAATATTAGCAAATCAGATCTAACAATATATTTTTTAAAAATTATTCACCATGACCAAGTGGGATATATCCCAGGGATGTAAATCTGGTACAGTATTCAAAAATCAATAAATGGAATACACCACATAAACAAAATGAAAGATAAAAATCATATGACCATATCAATAGATGCTGAAAAAGCATTTGACAAAGTCCTGCCAATAAGAATGCTCAGCAAAGCGGGAATAGGGGGATCATATCTCAACATAATAAAGTCCATATATGAAAAGTCTAGGGCCAACATCATACACAATGGGAAAAAACTAAAAGCATTTCCCTTAAGAACAGGAAGAAGCCCTGGCTGGTTTGGCTCAGGGGTTAGAGCGTCGGCCTGCAGTCCAGAGAGACCTGGGTTCGGTTCCCACTAAGGGCACATCCCTCGGTTGCAGTTTGTCCCCAGCCCTGGTTGGGTTGTGCGGGAGGCAGCCACTCGATGTGTCCCTTTCACATTGATGTTTCTCTCTCCCTCCCACTCTGTCTGAACAAAAAATGGAAAAATGTCCTCGGGTGAGGATAAAAAAAAAAAAAAAGAACAGGAAGAAGACAGAGATGTCCACTTTCACCACTTATTCAACATCGTACTGAAAGTCTTAGCCACAGCAATCAGACATGAAGAAAAACCAAAGGCATCCAAGTTGGAAAGGAGAAAATGAAATTGTCATTATTCGCAGATTATATGATATTGTACACAGAAAACCCTAAAGACTCCATCAAAAAACTACTACTAGATTGCCCTGGCAAGTTTTGCTCAGTGGTTAGAGCATTGGTTCACAGACCAATAAGTCACAGGTTTGATTCTGGACAAGGGCATGTAACTCGGTTGCAGTTCATGCCCAGCCCTAGTCAGGGTCGTGTGGGAGGCAACCAGTCGAAGTGTCCCTCTTTAATTTTTTTTATCCTCACTCGAGGACATTTTTCCAGTTTTCATTCAGATAGAATGGGAGAGAGACAGAGAAACAACGATATGAAAGGGACTCATTGAGTGGCTGCCTCCCACATGACCCAACCAGGGGTCAAACTGCAACTGAGTTATGTGCCCTTAAGCAGGAACCAAACCCGGGTCTCTCTGGACCACAGGCTGACACTCTAAGCACTAAGCCAAACCAGCCAGGGCTGATGTGTCCCTATTATATCAGTGTTTTTCTCTCTTTCCTTCTCTCTCCCTCCCTCCCACTTTATAGGAAGATAAATGAAAAAATATCCTCGGGTGAGGATTAAAAAACAAACAAAAACTACTACATTCAATCAATGAAATTGGCAAAGTAGCAGGATACAAAATTAACATCCAAACATCAATGGCATTCTTATACACCAATAATGAACACTCAGAAAGGAAACTAAAAAACAATCCCATTTACCATTGCAACCAAAAAAATTAAGACACCTAGGAATAAACTTAACCAAGGAAGTAAAAGACCTATTCTCAGGAAATTACAGGACATTGAAAAAAGAAATAGAGGATGTGAAGAAAAGGGTACTCTAGTACACTGCTGGTGGGAATACAGACTGGTGCAATCACTATGAAAAACAATACAAAGGCTCCTCAAAAAATGAAAAATGGAACTGTCATTTGACCCAGTGATCAAAGGATATATTCCCAGTGATCTCACTTCTAGGAATATATCCTAAGAAGCCTGAAATGCCAATCAGAAAGAATATATGCACCCCTATGTTCATGAGCAACATTATTTACGATAGCTAAGATCTGGAAACAGCCCAAGTGCCCATCAGTAGATGAGTGGATAAAAAAAGTTGTGGTATATTTACACAATGAAATACTATGCAGCTATAAGAAAGAAAGAACTCTTACTCTTTGAGATAACATGGAGGGACCTGGAAAATATGCTAAGCAAAATAAGCCAGTCAGAGAAAGACAAGTACCTCATGATCTCACTTACTTATGGAATATAATGAACAAAAAAAGCTGAGGATCAAAATATATCCAGAGACAGGAAGCAGGGAACAGATTTACAAACCTCAGAGGAAAGGTAAATAGGGAGATAGGAAGAGATAAGCCAAAGAACTTATATGCATATGCATAACCAATGAATACAGACAATAGTGTGGGGAAGGTGGGGGGGGGGGGTGGGAGTGGGGAGGAGAAGGTCAATGGAGGAAAAAAGGGTAAACATCTGTAATACTTTCAATAATAAAGATAAAAAATAAAATAAATAATGTAAGCAGCTTCATTTTTAAAAAAGGGGGGGGAAATCGCCCTGGCCGGTTTGGCTCAGCGGTTAGAGCGTCGGCCTGCGGTCCGGAGAGACCCGGGTTCGGTTCCCGCTAAGGGCATGTACCTTGGTTGCAGTTTGTCCCCGGCCCTGGTTGGGTCGTGTGGGTGGCAACCACTCGATGTGTCGCTTTCACGTCGATGTTTCTCTCTCTCTCTCTCTCTCCCTCTCACTCTATCTGAACCAAATATAAAAAAAAAAAAAAAAAAAAAAAAAAGGGGGGGGAAATCCACATTCATTTTCATTTACTCTTTCATTCACTTTCATTCACTCTTCAACCACCCCATAAGTTTCCTCCCAATCCACTCTAATGAAAGGTCTCTAATAGGCAAGCTTTCCAACCCTAACCTCATGATCTGTTTTACTTTCCCCTGCTGCTACCAATATCTATTCTTATGCTAATGTTGCTGAGCTCATTAAATGCCACTACTAGTCAGTTGCTCATGAAAGAAACTCAGGAGTCATTCTAGATCATTCTCATTCTTTTTTTTTTTTTTTTTATCCTCACCCGAGGACATTTCTCCATTTCTTGTTCAGGTAGAGTGGGAGGGAGAGAGAGGAAGGGAGAGAGAGAAACATCGATGTGAAAGGAACACATCGAGTGGCTGCCACCCGCACAACCGACCGGGGCCGGGGCCAAACTGCAAGCGAGGTACGCGCCCTTAGCGGGAACCGAACCTGGGTCTCACAGGACCGCAGGCCGACGCTCTAACCGCTGAGCCAAACCAGCCAGGGCTCATTCTTTTACCTCTGCACCAATTGAATTGATAACCAGGGCCTCTGAGTTCTACTTTTAATATAACTCTTAAATTTTCCCTGGCCAGTGCAGCTCGGGGGGTTAGAGTGTCAGCTTGTGCACCGAAGGGTTACAGGTTCGATTTCCAGTCAAGGGCATGTACCTGAGTTGTGGGTTGGATCCCAGTTGGGGCACGTGCAAGAGTTAACCAATTGATGTGTCTCTCGCACATCGATGTTTCTCTCTCCCTCTCTCCCCTCCTCCCAATCTCTTTAAAAATCTATGAAAAAAGAATCCTCAGGAGAGGATTAACAAAGAATAAATTAGCCCTGGTCGGTTTTGCTCAGCAGTTAGAGCATTGGCCTGCAGACCAGAGAGTCCTGGATTTGGTTCCCACTAAGGGCACATACATTGGTTACAGTTCATTGCCGGCCCCTGTTGGGGTCGTGTGGGTGGCAACTAGTCCATGTGTCTCTCTCACATTGATGTTCCTCTCTCTCTCTCTTCCTCCCTCTCTCCCTCCTGCTCTGTCTGAAGATAAATGCAAAAATGTACTCAGGTGAGGATAAAAAAATAAAATAACTCTTAAATCTGTCCAATTACAATGTAAACGCTACCACTGTAGTCTAAACCACTGTCACCTTTTAAATGGATAGCCGAAAGAGCTTCCTAACCTGTTTTGCTTATTCAGTTTTATCTGCAAGCATTATCTATGCCTAAAACAAAACTAACTTTCTTAAGTTCCTTGAATATAACAAGCTCTTTCTTGCTTAGCCTTTGAGCATGCTATTCCTTTGACTGGCAAATTCTTATTTATCCTTCATTTTTTAGTTTAAAAGTCATTTGTTCAAGTGTCACTTTCCTACTCCCTCTAGACTATGTTATATTTTGTAAAACTCTCTCATGGCACTTTTCCTAAGAGTAATTAATTAGAACATATTTGTTTATTGTCTTTTTCTCTTGCTAAACTTTAAATTTAATAAAATAAGAAACTTACTTGGTTTTTTGTATGCCCAGTATTTATCACAGTGAATTAAATATGTGTAGAACAAATGAATAATGCTAAAGAATTTTAAAGTAATCTGTAGTCAATGACTCAAGGGTTAATAAGCCAAAGAAATTTTTTTAAAAAGTTAAAAAAATAATTTTATTCTATTTATACAGTTCCATAAATGTATTCTAAAGCATTTATTTAGGAGTTACCTTTTTATCAGGCATCATGCTATGAACTAGGTATATTAATTTGAATAAAATATAATCCTTGCCCCTGTTGAGCTCAAATCATAATGAAAGATACAGATATGTAAACAAAAGACACCATATTAAATGAAGAGGTAAATACAAAAGAGTGAATACCTAACTTTACACAGGGGGTGAAGTTAAGAAAACACTTACAGCCAAAGAGATTGTTATTTGAGTACTGAATGAAGTTTGCCATGCAGAAGAGGAGAATAGACATATCCAGAAGAGAGAACAAAAGGGTTGAAATAAGCTTGAGCTATTGAGAGAATATAGGAGTAAGAACATATGAGAAAAAGGAAGCCATACAAAAGAGACAATAGCTTCCTGGTCAGGGTATCTTAGCGTTATTACTATTGGAATTAACCTAAATTAACAGTAAACAGTGATAGTAATCAGACTCAAAATTCAATCGTAAAGAAGCATAAAAGCTGGAGAAGGGTGTCTGTGGGGAAAAAGGAGAAGCATCTGTAACAAAAATAAATTAATAAAAGAAAAAAGAAGCATAAAAGCTGATTATAAGAGGAAATACAAATAGCTAGAATTATTTTAATAAATCCTAACATAGTTGCCCTTGTCTCTTTGGGCCATAGTTTCCCTATCCATAAAATTTGATTAGATGAGATAATATCTTAAATGTCTTCCAGTTTAACATCGTTTGATTTTATATTTTAAAGACATCAAGATAACCTACCTTCTGCAAATGTAACTGTCACAGTCTCTCTGAGAATATTCCCACTGTCTGTAGTCCATTGAAGCTAAAAAGGGAACAGTCACTTCAGTAAAATATTGAAAAATAGTTTAAAACATCAATACAACTGTCACATATTATTGTTATAGTGTAACTGTGTTTTATTCTGTAATTACTCTCTTCACTTGTTCATATTCTCAAAGCACAAGTATACTTCACCATCTAAATGCATTAACTTCCCAAGTTCAGATAGCAAGACTTTGGTTAGCAAGTGTAGATGGCAAGGAGCATTGCTAACCAAATCTGTTTTTGTTCCTGAATTTTGGATAGAGGATAATTAACAGTTCTGAATAGCAAAGAATAGTAGCTCTAACTTAAAAAATCTAAATCTGTTCAGTTACCGAATTTGATAGTAAAAATGTGGAGAGCAAAGAATATTGCTACTGAGATTTAATGACATAATCAGTACCTGCATTATAATTACTAGTTTGAATAATTATATTAATCTCTTCAGAAGGAAAAATTTTCATAGAAATGACCAATATTCAGAGGGAAACAATCACAGTATGAAGTAACATTAATATCCATAGATGGCATATAGAATTAACATTACTACCTTGTTTATTCAAGTCTGAACTATTTAAATTTACGCATCTACTTAAAGAGGGGAAGATATACACAGCATGTAATCAATAAATGTCTGTTAAATGAAGAAGATATACTTTTTACAGAGATAAACTATGTTGATTTTTAAATAAAGATTATTATTACTATTATAGTCAGATTTGAAAATTTACTGCTTTTTCTTGTGGAATAAAAAAATTTAGTCAAATCATCTGTATTTATATTTTAAGAAAAAAATATCCTATTTTTCTTATATTATAGTTATTTACATGGCTGTATAGCAACCATCTTTATTAGTCCAAATAGTAATGAAAGCTGAGAAAGATTCTGTAATAAAACATGGAATTACAGCTGTAATCATACCGTTGCTGGAATAATCTCCGAGTTACATAGATTATCTCCATTTCTCAAGGATTTCTGTACTTCATGGATGTGATTTTTTATATCATTTACAGTTGGAAAAAAGGATAAATTATGTCTTTCAGGTACCTCATCAGGTTTGAACAGTTCTCTTTCCACAAATTTTCTGCGGAGAATATAAAATAGAATAAAACATAAATAATCTAGCAATTTACTTTAGATCACATGAGACAAGGCTCTCTTTTAGCATAAACATGTGTAAAGCAAGGTTGTAGCTTTATAAGTAGTTTACATTTTCCTACTTTTAGTTTTTTTCCCTACATTAAATCATAGAATTCATACAGGTGAAAGAAATGTAATATTTACACTGGTTAGATAAACTGTATATTTTAGAGTGAGCTTTACATTTTTATGAATTTAAAGAAATCATTGCCTTCTATTTAAATATGTTTTTGAATGCTTACTAGGTCAGGCACTATACTGAACACTTCACATCAAGTATCTCCTTTAAGCCTTAATACAATCCTTTGAGGTAGGTTACAATTAGCATTCCCACTGTATAGATAAGGAAACTGAGGGTTGCAGAAGTTGAGTAATTTGCCCAAAATTATACACCTACCTAGTAAGTACGAGAGCTTGGGCCTACACTCAGATTATTTGCATAAAGATAATGTTATTGCTTCCAAAAGGCATCAATTAATATCATATAAAATATGATCTGCTTGCATTTTATAAGTAGATAAAAGAAAAGATAGAAATAGAAGGCAGTATTGCCACATAATTGTATAAAGGTAAATAAATAAAAGAAATAATAAAATTTTATATATATGTATGTGTGTGTGTATGTATATATGCTTTGTGCATTACATTCAGCAGACCATAGCACAGAGCTGTATTACACCTCTGTTCTTACTTAAGATTCAGGTTTAGTAAATAGTAGACAGCTTCACCAAATTCTGGTTCTAGTCTAACAATGCCTCAAAGGAAATAAACACAAAATGTCTAAGAAATCTGCTAAATAAAACAGTAATGTATTAATTAAGGAATAATCCTAGGAAATATTCATTATGTTATTCTGATCAGACTACACAATAACCAGTACAAACAAGGTCAGTCAAGTACCAGAAATCAGGGCAAAGAGCACAGGCTGTAGATTCAGATCTAAAATTCAGTTCTGCCTCTACCTCTTAAGCTAGTTATTTAACCACTCTGAGTCTCCATTTTCTCATCTGCAAAATGACAATAAACATACCAATTTTATAGTCATAAGAATAAATGAGTTCATTCATGGGAAGTGCTTAGCATAACACCTTACACACACATGGTAAGTGCCACATGATAATAATAGTTAAATGTTATATCCTGAGTATCAATAAAATTAGACCACAGTGCTACATATAAGATTTCATTAGACAAAGAACTATCCATATTCTTCTGTTGTAATAAAATATAGTGTATTTCAAATAGCTTGAAATAAGTACTTTGACCTAGAGGTTTAAAAATCTTTGGTTCTACACTTAAATGTTAGACTCAAAACCATAAAAATCCTAGAAGAAAACATAGGCAGTAAAGTCTCAGACATTTCTTGTAGTAACATTTTTTCTGATCTACCTCCTCGGGCAAGGGAAACAAAAGAAAATATAAACAAATGGGACTACATCAAACTAAAATCTCTTTGCACAGCAAAGGAAACCATGAAAATGAAAAGACAACCCACTGAATGGGAGAACATATTTGCAAATACATCTGGTCAGGAGTTAATATCCAAAATTTATAAAGAACTTATAAAACTCAACACACACACAAAAAAACAAATAATCCAAATAAAAAATGGGCAAAGGACCTGAACAGACACTTCTCTAAAGAGGACATAGAGATGGCCAATAAACATATAAGAAGATGCTCAACGTCACTAATCATCAGACAAATGCAACTTAAAACCACAATGAGATATCACCTCACATTTGTCAGAATGGCTACCATCAATAAATCAATAAACAACAAGTGTTGGCGAGGATGTAGAGAAAGGGGAACCCTCGTGCACTGTTGGTGGGAATGGAGATTGGTGAAGCCACTGTGGAAAGCACTCTAACAGCATATACTCTGGAAAATGTCTATAATGTTAAGTGTACTATAGCAACAAACAGAAATGAAAAACATAGAAGAACAATTTGTTTCTACTATACCTTAGCTGTTTCCTTACTGCATACACTTGTTCTATTCCTTGTGATACTAATTCTTGAATCTTATGTGCTACTTGAGGATGTAGACGTGAGGGTAATGTGCAATTCTCATCTCTAACTGCAGTTTCCTCTTCTTCAAGAGAGGACACAGGAAAAGGAGAAGGTGACAAAGGGAGGGGGGCAGTCTCTAATTCGTGATACTGATGAGCTTGCTGTGTAGGTAACTGTACATACCACCTGATGAGAAAATATTTAAAATTCTATTACTAAACACAGGTTTAGAATTGTAATTATGTTAATACTCAAGAAAAGGAACACTCTTTTAAGAAAAATATATATTATATGATATTAAATATAAATTTAAATTGTCCTCTGTTTAACTCTTCTAAGATTGGCTTTAAACCCAATTACTTAAGTCTTTTTTTTTTTGTTGGGGTTTTTTTATTTGTTTTTTGTTTTGTTTTTTGCAGACTTTTTACTATGGCCCTAAAGTTAAGGAGGGTACAGGATTTAAGTATATATAAAAATGGTATTTTAAATCTCATATTATGTAAATTACATCTCAAAATAATGACTTTCTGTATCATCATTTTTTGAATTATGTATTTTCCCATTCTTCCACCATTTTGTCCCTGGATTACAACTTCCGTGTTGTATTTATTATCCTTCCAACCAAAGAGTGGATATAATTCAGAGTCTATCAAGATTCAGCTATGTGGGAGAACCACCTCTGACAGGAGCTTAATAAACTGCCTCTAGAGCACTCCAGCTCCTGGTTACCCCAATGAGCAAGACAATCAACTAAAAGGTGAATACAGACAGGTCCCCCGTATAATAGAGCAGTCCAAAAAAACAAATGCTAAGAAAATGAACTGATCTGGTAGGATACTGTTTTAATTGATATATTTGTATAAAATGCTTGCAATAACTGATACTGTATAAAATGCAGCCTACTTAAAAATCATATACAATGGTCTCCAAACTGAAAGATCTAATTATTGAGTATATTCACTTTTCATGCATCTATGAAAAAACTATGGTCCATACCCTTAACCCTATTATACAATTGCAAATTTTTCACCTGGACTAACACATGAAAAAAAAATAAGAAAGAAAGCTAACATTTCTTCTTACTTAAGACCTTAAGGAAAAAAGAAAGACCTTAAGGGAGCCAAATATATGATGATGGAAGATGATCTAACTGAGTGGTGAGCACACAATGCAATATACAGATCATGTATCATAGAAATGTACATGTGAAACCTATATAATCATATTAACCAATGTCACCCAATAAATTTAATAAAAAATTAAAATTAAATTTGAAAAAAGACTTTAGTATAAAAGGTATAAAATGAAATTTTATGTAGGGCTTAGAATTCATTTCTGGCTGCCCCAAGTAATCAAAGATAGGTTAAAAAATATATTCAACCAGTGAAAGAAAGTTGAGCTAAAAACAAGAATTAAAGAAAATAAACTCTCTGCCTTTAAAACAAATATTCAGGTGACTGCAAGTTTGGCCCCTAGCAAGTGTCTAAAACAAAATATTAAATATATAGTGAAATGTGTTGCCAAATATGTATTTGTCATTTTGGGAAAAAAACTTCCATATGGTATACAGAATTCTTTGGTCAGATTTAGTCATGACATTTGGCTGACACAGTGGTAAATCATTTTAACACCTAGGTAACTACTAGTGAGACATCCACTTTATAAAATCCATTTCTCAATAACTGGAACCCATAATTATAATTTCTCTTACAGAAGGAATTCTTGCAAATGGAGCTAATTAATTTATAAAATAAAAGAACTATATAAATGTCATACCTAAGAACACCACCAGCATCTACCAAGTTCTTCTTTAGCATGTTAAAGGCTTTCTCTTGCTCCATTCGTATTATTTTCTTATCAATTTTGGGGTCTGTAGGAACTCTATATTCAGGAAACTTTTGTACCTTTTTAATGTAAATTCTTTTTATAAGAAAAAAAATATTTTTTATTATATTGTAATCTCAAGAAAACCTAATTTATCAACCAGAGTTTATTTGAAGCATTAAAGTTTAGAAAAATTCAATTACTTTAGAAAGCATTCAGAGAATTACACGAAAGACATGCCATATTCTCAGTGCATCATAATACTTAACAAATTAACAATAATCATGATTTCAGTAAAAATATCTAAATATTTCTAGATATTAGCTTTTTTTTCTCTCTCTTTTTTCCTTCTTCTGAATTTGCCTCTTTTCCATTCTCCTAGAAGCCATAAACACCTCATCTGAATTACCTTCTGGGCCTCTGGACATCCAGTCTTTCATTACTTAAATCTACTTGACAAGTTAATGCCACAATAATTCTTCACATTTGCACTTCTCTGCTCAAGAACCTATTTGCTCTTTAATCAAGTAAAATTTCTTGGCAGAATTCAGGACATTTCATATGATTCCAAATGTTTACCTATCTAACTTTTAATTACTTCAAATATAAAATTGCTTTTTCTATGACGGTTATATCATCTTAATGAAGGACTCATTCTTACTCCTCTGATACCAAATATACAATCACATCATATCTTTATTTATATAGTTCTCCTAGCCTACAAAGTCTTTCCTTTAATTCTGTACCTATCCAAATTCAACCTAAACTTCAGCAACCAGGCTTCCTTATCTAAGTACTTCCTGCCCTGTTAATGAGTTTGCATGGATATATTCCCTCTCAGAAGATACTCAGTTAATCCATACTACTGTATACTATTATGTTCTTTAAAACTTTTTGTTTAGTAATCTACCTAAACAATATTTTAAGTTCTCCATGATTAAGTAAAATCTTATACCTTTTTTAGTCTCCCTCCTTCCCATGGCACCCAATGTAGTTGATGATCAGAGAAGATAACACATGAAGTACTTATAGAGTAATAGAGAAAAAAATTATTTCTTCACAGACGTTTTCTCCCAAGTCACACGTAAAGTTTTAGATTTATTACCCTATGTAAAAATCAGTTGAAAATTTTGTTTCATGGTCAGGTTTAAATGTTGCCTAAAGTTAACATTATGAGATTAAACATGAAAAGCCTTCTTAACTGGCTTTAAAAACTTGAGAATGCATGCCCTGGCCAGTTTGGCTCAGCAGTTGGAGCATTGGCCAGCAGTTGGAGTGTCGGCCTGCAGTCCAGAGAGACCAGGGTTCAGTTTCCGCTAGGGGCACGTGCCTCGGTTGCAGTTTGTCCCCGGCCCAGGTTGGATAATGCAGATGGCGGCCACTCAATGTGTCCCTTTCACATCGATGTTTCTCTCTCTCCCTCCCACTCTATCTGAACAAAGAACGAAAAAATGTCCTCGGGTGAGGATAAAAATATAAATAAAATGAATAAATAAATAAATAAAAACCTGTGACATAGTTGTGATGTTAAAATATTCCAAAGCTCAACTAAATCCAACATTTACATGTTATCTTTTTTTTTAATCCTCACACAAGCACATTTTCCCCTTTATTCTCAGATAGAGTGGGATGGAGAGGGAGAGAGAGGGAGAGAGAGAGAAACAGCCACATGAGAGAGGTACATCGACGGGTTGCCTCCAGCACAATCCCAACCAGGGCTAAGGATGAACCGCAACGAAGGTACGTGCCCTTCACTGAATCAAACCAGCCACTCTCTGGTCTGCAGGCCGATGCTCCAACCACTGAGCCAAACCGGCCAGGGCTACATGTTATCTTTTAAAGCTTTATTTTATCTGATCATAGGAAACATTTTTAATGTCTGAAAAGAAAAGGGTATTAGGCCCTGGCCGGTTTGGCTCAGCAGTTAGTGTCGGCCTGCGGTCCAGAGAGACCTGGGTTTGGTTCCCACTAAGGACGCGTACCTCGGTTGCAGTTTGCCCCCGGCCCTGGTTGGGTTGTGCAAGTGGCAACCACTCGATGTGTCCCTTTCACATCAACGTTTCTCTCTCTCTCTCTTCCTCTCTTTCCCTCCCACTCTATCTGAACAAAAAATGGAAAAATGTCCTTGGGTGAGGATAAAAAAAAAAAGAAAAGGACATTATAAAAATCTTTTATTGTTTCAGTTTTTATTCTCATCCAGAGCAATAATAACTCTGTAGTCCTGTTCTATCTAAAACTTACTATGTTGGTGTCATACATTACTGCTATGAGTATAATTGGTAAAATCTCTCTATAAAGCAACTTTCTAATACCTGTCAACATTTAAAAAGATTATAACCTTTGCCCTAGCAATTTCATTTCAAGGAATTTATCCTATTGATATACTTGCACAAGTGTATATTAACTGCAATATTGAATATAATAATAAAGAACATTTTTCAGAGCCTACATGTCCATCATTATCTAATTAAGTAAATGATAATCCAGCCATAATAGACTATCACATAGCTATTAAAAAGAAGGAACCATGAAACTAATATGTTATATGTCAATTATATCTCAATTTTTTAAATAAATTTTTAAAAGTTTTTTAAGAAATAACCAGTGCTTTTAGATATGGTAACTTTGAGATATTTGGAATGAATAAAAGCAAAGTGTAGAGTAGTACATGTCATTACATTCAAACTAGTCTGAAGCATAATAGCTGTGCAGTAAAAAAATCACAATAGGCATTCAGAATGAAAATCAATCAATGTGGATTCATAGAAGAAAAGAAGGTACACTACTATTACCTAACTTTAAGAAAATATTGCCCAGCTGGTATGGCTCAGTGGTTGAGTGTCGACCCATGCATCAAGAGGTCACTGGTTCAATTCCCGGTCAGGGCACATGCCAGGTTGTGGGCCCAATCCTCAATGGGGGGCATGCAGGAGGCAGCCAATTGATGTTCCCTCTCATGGGTGTTTCTATTTCTCTCTCCCTCTCCCTTTCTCTCTCTAAAAATCAATAAAGAAAAAGTAAAAAACAAAAATATTAGCAAACTTTACTGAGATCTTTAACATTTATGAGGCTAAAGGAGAATATATATATATGCATATACAGAATATCTTTAGAAGATTACTCAAGAAACTGGTAAGAGTTGTTGCCTCGCCCTGGCCAGTTTGGCTCAGCGGTTGAGCATAGGCCTGCAGACCAGAGGGTCCCGGGTTCGGTTCCCGCTAGGGGCACGTACCACCAAAAAAAAAAAGAAAGAAAAATACAAATAAAGCATAATTAATAATAGTTAAAAAAAAAAAAAAAAAAGTTGTTGCCTTAAAGAGGGACAAGGGAGCAGGGGTAAGAGGAAACTCAGGCTTTACTGCATAACTTTTGGAGCTGCTTAAACTTTACAAAGTACATATTAGCTATTCAAAAATAAGTACTTAATAAGAAAGAAATAAAAGAAAAGAAAGCTTACCTGGCTGGACATGTGGCTTTGTAGAGTTGACAAGGTCTGCTTTTCTGCTCACTAATTTTTTTTAACTGGAAACCTTTTCTCCTTGGCCCATACTGACACTCCATTACCACGGCTCTACTCCCTGTGGGCCAAAACCAACTGTTGATATTAAATCAAATATCCATCTGTTCTGGGTATTAGATTAAAAATAACTTGGTGGCAATGTCAAAATTTATAATCTCGTTACACAATTTTAAGGAAAGAAAACAGCAATAAGTCTTACTAAATTAAAATATACAAACAGCCCTGGCCGGTGTGGCTCAGCGGTTAGAGCGTCGGCCTGCAGTCCAGAGAGACCTGGGTTCGGTTCCCGCTAAGGGCGTGTACCTCGGTTGCAGTTTGTCCCCGGCCCTGGTTGGTTGTGCGGGTGGCAGCCACTCGATGTGTTCCTTTCACATCAATGTTTCTCTCTCTCTCTTTGTTCTCTATTTTTGATATTAGGTTATTTAAAACGTCTGTGACTTTCGTCTTGTGTACTCTCTTGCTTGGATTGCTCTCTCTGGGAAAAATCGGTCATGTAGTAAGGCAACTCTGTGTAGAGGCCCAGGTGGCAAGGAATAAGTCTGCCAACAGCCACATGCGTGAGCTTGGAAGAAGTTACACCCCTAGTCAAGCCATAAGATGACTGCAACTCCAGCCCATACCTTATTTGTGGTCTTGTAAGAATCTGAGGCAGAACCACCTTGCTAAGCTGCTCTTAGATTCCTGACCCATAGAAACTGTGAGGTAATAAATGTTTGTTGTTTACAGCCACCAAGTTTGGGGTAATTTGTTATATAGAAAAGGATAATACAAATAAGCAAATGTAAAAACTATACAGTTTAAGTTTTTGTTTTGTTTTTTAATCCTCACCCGAGGACATAGTTCCATTTTTTTGTTCAGATAGAGTGGGAGGGAGAGAGAGGAAGAGAGAGAAACATCGACGTGAAAGGGACACATCAAGTGGCTGCCACCCACACAACCCAACCAGGTCCGGGCACAAACCGCAACGGAGGTACATGCTCTTAGCGGGAACCGAACCCAGGTCTCTTGGGACTGCAGACCAACGCTCTAACTGCCTTGCCAAACTGGCCAGGGCTATACAGTTTAAGAGTTTAAGCTGAACGTCCTATTCTAGGGTACAACTAACTTCTAAAATATAAAAACAAAAATGCAAATGATAAATTAAAATATTCCTAAGCTGACATTAAAATGCAAAACTTGTATTTAAAAGGCACCATAAATAAAGGTAAAGTAAAAATAAGTTTCAAAAACAGTATTTTATAATACACATAACAAAAGATTAATATGCAGAATATAAAGAACCATAAATAAAGTTTTTAAAAACAAAGAAACAACTGCCCGGGCCAGTTTGGCTCAGCGGTTAGAGCGTTGGCCTGTGGTCTGGAGAGACCCGGATTCGGTTTCCGCTAAGAGCATGTACCTCCATTGCAGTTTGTCCCCGGCCCTGGTTGGGTTGTGTGGGTGGCGACCACTTGATGTGTCCCTTTCACGTCGATGTTTCTCTCTCTCTCCCACTCTATCCGAACAAAATATCGAAAAATGTCCTCGGGTGAGGATGAAAAATAAAAAATAAAAAAAACAAAACAAAACAAAAAACAAAGAAACAACCAAACAAATAAATGGGCAAAGGCTATGAACAGTCAATTCAGAAAGAAAAAGAAAGTATATTAAATGAACAAATAAAAAGATGTTCAACTTTGCAAGTAAAGAAGGAAATGCAAATTGAAAAAATAGTAAAATATCATCTCACACTCTTCAGATTGGCAAAACATTTTTTAAAAACTGACAATACTCTAAAACATCTGACTCCACTGATCAATCTTAACATCTCTAAAAGGTGTTACACATAAGTAGCAATAAGAAGTACACAGAACCTGCCCTGGCCGGTTTTTGCTCAGTGGTTAAAGCATCGGCCTGAGGACCAAAGAGTTGCGGGTTCAATTCCAGTCAAGAGTACGTACTTCAATTGCAGTCTGGTCCCTGGCCCAGGTTGGGGCCATGAGGGAGGCAGACAGTTGATGTGTTTCTCTCTCATGTTAATGTTTGTTTCTCTCTCTCTCTCTCTCTCTCCCACTCTATCTGAAGATAAAAGGAAAAAATATCCTCGGGTGAGGATTAAAAAAAATAATAATAAAAAAGAAGTACACACACCTGGCTGGTGTGGCTTGGTGGTTGTATGTCAACCCATGCACCAGTTTGAGGTCACCAGTTTGATTACCGGTCAGGGCACAGGTTGTCCTGGGCCAAATCCAGTGGGGGGCATGCAGGAGGCAGCCAATCAATGTTCTTTCATCGATGTTTCTATCTCTCTCTTCCTCTTCCTTCCTCTCTGTATAATAATCAATACAAAGAAAAAAAATTAAGTACATAGAACCTATAAAATAATCTCGCAGCCCTGGCCGGTTAGAGCGTCAGCCCAGGGACGGGAGAGTCCTGGGTTCGGTTCCCCCTAAGGGCACGTTGCCTTGGTTGCAGTTGTGTGGGTGGCAAACAATCGATGTGTCTCTCTCACATCGATGTTTCTCTCTCTGTCTTCCTCCCTCTCTCCCTCCCACTTTATCTGAAGATAAATGCAAAAATGTCCTCCCGTGAGGATAAAAAAAAAAAGAAATTCTTGCAGAATACTTTTATGAAGACTAAATCTTCATTTAGTCAAGCCTCTATTTCTAACAGTTTACAGAAAGTACAGAGGATAAAGGACATGTTCTATTACACCACAGAGATGGAATCAGCAAAATCCAGAACAGGGCAAACCATCCCACTCTATTTGAGGATGGATGGGGAATATCCTTGGGTGAGGATTAAAAAAAAATCTTCTTGGAGGTGGGGAATAAGGAAGTGGGTTGGGGTATAGATGAGAGAGTAGTGATCACAGGCTGATAGCTGTTGAAGCTGGATAATGGATACATGGAGTCATAGCATTTCATATATTATTATCTCTACTTTGATACACATATGAAAATCTCATAATATAAATATTTTAAAAGAATGACCATGCTAAATCATAGAAAGTGGGAAAGGGAACTTTTCATACATTGCTGAAAGGAGTAAAAATTGGTACAGGTCACTAATTCTTTGTGTTCCTTTCTGAATCTAAAAAGCTCAAAAAAACCCCAAAATTTTTGGAACCCATTTACCTGCAAAACTTGACCTGAACTTTATAAGGCTATTTATAGTCTTGATTTATTCCATAGTGTGACTATCCATAAAATATTACTGTGTTTGATTATGTGTTATTGCCTGTAGAATACATGCTAGAAGTATTTCATAATATTACATTATTACAGTCCAAAAATTCAGACTTTTAAAACATACCTAGCCAAAAACAATTTAGAGAAGAGATTTCTGAACCTGTAAAACCATGTTAGTGAACAATCTGAGAAAATGTTATAAAGATGAAATGGGCATGATTCACAACTCAGTAATTCCACTTTAACACATACACTAGAAAAACAAATACATCTTTCCAACAGAAAATGTACATTGTGGAGGTCTGACTATAGCATTCTTTGTAATATTTAAAAGTTGGAAACAATCTAAATGATTATTTATAGAAAAATAATTGTGGCTTGGTCATATGCTAGACTGTTATATAATAATTAAATTGAGTTAACTGGGATCTATAAGTATCATTATGGATAGATTTTAAAAATCAGGGTGAGTGAAAAATGTACATAATAATGTTTACAGTTTACTATTTATGTATATTTTTAAATATTCAAGGTAATAAAATATATTATTATGAATACAAACATGTATGGTAAAGTATAAAAGCAAACTGGAAAGATACACACCAAATTCACGTAGTGGCTGCTTGTGAAGTTAAGAAGGGGACTAAAACTAGGGAAGTGAAAAATGTTACATTTCTTTTATAGAATACTGATAAACCTGGGCAGAAGAAGTTACATTTATCTTATCTTCCTCTAAGTATTTCTCTACCCTCAGGGGTCCAGGATGAGACTGCAACTCTTCCAGCTGAATCAGTACCCACACTGTCCTGAAATAAATCGCTTATTTTTAGGTTCTGTGGGGTCTAACTGGTCCTAGGGTGAACCTCTGGGAATTGTTTGAAATTCTACTGCTTTAGTAAACACTAGTGTTTGAGACTACTGTATATAATACACTTGATGCTTGAGAACCCTAATATTAAAATCCTATATAATAACTCTTGCCTGGCCAGTGTGGCCCACTGGTTGAGCATCGACCCATGCACCAAGAGGTCACTGGTTTGATTCCTGGTCAGGGCACATGCACAGGTTGTGGGCTTGATCCCCAGTGGGGGGGCATGCAGAAGGTGGTTAATCAATGTTCTCTCTCAGCGATGTTTCTATCTCTCTCCCTCTCCCTTCCTCTCTCTCTAAAATCAATTAAAAAAATTTTTTTAAATAAAATAAAATTCTATATAACTCTTAATTTAATTTAATTTAATTTTTTTTATCCTTACCCAAGGACTTTTTTTTTTTTTTTTTTTTTGATATTTTGTTCAGATAGAGTGGGAGGGAGAGAGAGAAACACTGACATGAAAGGGACACATCGAGTGGTTGCCACCCACACGACCCAACCAGGGCCGAGGATAAACTGCAACCAAGGTACGCACCCCTAGCAGGAACTGAACCTGGTCTCTCTGGACCGCAGGCTGACGCTCTAACCACTGAGCAAATCGGCCAGGGCTATATAACTCTTGATTATATACAAGTCTATACAGTAACTCAAGAGTTATAAGTTATATAAAATTAACATTAATTTGTACCACACGACAAATCAAAAGAGGAGGAGAAAATATCTGGATTGGATGAAAAAACAAAACCAAGAGATATACATATTAAAATAATAAAATTGCTTATTATTTAATTTTTATGAAACAGGTCTACCTGAAATTTCAATATTTTCTATTTTCAGCATAATATCAAAAGGAAACATAATTTATTGAATACATTAAAATGCAATTTTACAACATAAATATTTATGTTTATGTTTTCTTTTTAGGTTAATATGCATTTTTATCAATTAACATTTAGTTATCATCTACCAAAATGAAAATGTATCACCTTAGAAAAACCACAGTTTCACAATGGATCATGGCTACTGCTGAACCTTTGAAAATATTTCTTTTAAAAAGTACCTGCATTGACAAATGGAATTCCATCATATGGTACATACTGGGATTTCCACATCAAACGTGTAGCTGGCTTGGCTGGGCTTGGAGATTGGCGGGTCCCCCAAACACTCTGTGTTTGCTGCTTGTGAAATGTTAAAACACTTTCTAATTCAGTCTCACTTACACAGTAGCCTCGGTATGAATCTCCAATTTTCTGCAGGTAGTAAAATTAAATAACAAAATTATTAGCAAATATGTTTCATTGTACAAAATATTTAATAAGGTGATTGTCCAAGACCAAAGACTCATCAGCCCTCAAAAGAGAAGGTCATTTCTCCCTTCAGATCAATGGTGTATTACAACCAGTGGATCTGATCTAAATTTAACTAGATATTGTCCAGGTATTTGTTAGAGAATGCCAAATTCACTGCCATACTGACTTCATCAAAATCTTGTTTGAGACAAAGAATATTTATAGGGAAGATAGCTTGAAGAATATATCATGTATCCATTCTTCCAGATATTTAAAATTCTACCACTGTATCCAACCAAATTAGCATAAATCTAACCACAATGTACTGGTTCCCTATGGGGCTTCTTTACTGACACCGACTCTGATATGATGCCATGAATCTATTTGAAAAACCTATGAAAATTACGATGTATTGCATATAAAAATGATGTCAAAGAATTTGTTCATTATATCAGGATTCTTTTCATGAAGAACCTTCTCTGAGAGAAATCCCTGTCTGACAGTCTTAGCTTATGAAAATGAGTAAAATTACTTTTATCTAATGGACACAGAACTTACTAATTAACTTAGTTTCCCATCTTGAATGTAGATGCTTAGAAAACAGACAAGTATGTACACATCTGTATATGTATACATACACACACAGATATACACACAGTTCATTAAGATACACATTTCTTCCATTTTATGGTTCCATTCTTGTTTTCCTTTATTCTTTAGCTCGACTTATACTTTCCACCTTGCTAATACATTCTATGTTTTCTTTTCTTAAATAAAAAAAATAATGGTCCTGGCTGGTTTGGCTCAGTGGTAGAGCATCGGTTCAGGGACCAAAGAGTCAAGGGTTCGATTCCAGTCAAGGGCACATACCTCAGTTGTGGTTCAGTTCCCTGCCCTGATTGGGGTCATGCAGGAGACAGCCAATCAATATGTCCCCCTCAAATCGATGTTTCTTTCTGTCTCCCTCCTTCCTTCCCTCCCACTCTGTCTGGAGATAGACAGAAAAATATTCTCAGGTGAGGATTTAAAAAAAAAAAATAGTTCCAATCACAGTTTATTTTCAATATTATTTTGTATTAGTTTCTGGTGAATAGCATAGTTGTTAGATAATCATAAGTGAAATCATATGGTATTTGTCTTTCTCTGACTTATTTCACTTAGCATAATACCCTCTCAGTCCATCTATACTGTCACAAATTGTAAGATTTCATTCTTTTTTATGGCCAAGTATATATGTACTACCACTTTTTTTAATCCACTCACCTACTAAAGGGCACCTGAGTTGCTTCCACAGCTTGGCTATTGTAAATAATGTTGCAATATATCCTTTAGAATTAGTGTTTCGGGTTTCTATATAGCCAGAAGTAGAATTGCTGGGTCATAAGGCAGTTACATTTTTAATTTTTTGAGGAATCTCCATACTGCTTCTTTTTTTTTTTTTTTTTATCCTTACCCGAGGATATTTTTCCATTTTTTGTACAGATAGAGTGGGAGGAAGAGAGAGGAAAGGAGAGAGAGAAACATCGACGTGAAGGGACACATCGAGTGGCTGCCACCCGCACGACCAACCAGGGCTGGGGACAAACTGCAACCGAAGTATGTGCCCTTAGTGGGAACCGAACCCGGGTCTCTCCGGACCGAAGGCCGACGCTTTAACCGCTGAGCCAAACTGGCCAGGGCTCCATACTGCTTCTATAGTGGCCACACCAATCTGCATTCCCACCAACAGTGGACATCCTCGCCAACACGTGTTGTTTGTTGACTTATTGATGACAGCCATTCTGACAAGTGTGAGGTGATATCTCAATGTAGTTTTAATTTGCATTTCTCTGATGATTAGTAACATTGAGCATCTTTCATGTCTATTGGCCATTTGTATGTCCTCTTTGGAGAAGTATCTATTTTTAGGTCCTTTGCCCAGTTTTAAATTGGATTCTTTGTTTTTTGGTGTTGAGTTATAGGAACTCTTTATAAAATTTCGATATTAATCTATGAGCAGATGTATCACTGGTGAATATGTTCTACCACTCAGTGGGTTCTCTTTCCATTTTATTGATGATGTCTTTTGCTTTGTAAAACATTTTAGTTTGATGTAGTCCCATTGTTTACTTTCTTCTTTTATTTCTCTTGCCCAGAGATATATGAGAAAAAATATTACTAAGAGACATGTTCAAGATCTTACTATGTTTTTTTCTTGGAGTTTTATGACTTTGAGTCTTACCTTTATTTCTTTATTTCATTTTGAGTTTATTCTTGTGTATGGTGTAAGAAGGTGGTCTAGTTTAATTTTCTTGCACTTATCTGTCCAATTTTCCCTACAGCATTTATTGAATAGACTGTCTTTAGCATGCAGTTTTTTGTTTTTTGGTTTTTTTTTGCATTCATCTTCAGATAGAGCAGGAGGGAGAGAGGGAGGAAGAGAGAGAGAAACATCGATGTGAGAGAGACACATCGACTGACTGCCACCCCAATCGGGGCCGGAGACAAACTGCATCCGAGATACGCGCCCTTAGCAGGAACCAAACCTGGGTCTCTCTGGTCCCCAGGCTGACGCTCTGACCGCTGAGTCAAACCAGCCAGGGCTATTATGTATTTTTGTAAGCTGTCTTACATTCTTTCTGAAACAAGGTAATGTATAAATAAATCACATAAATATATGTTATTTACCCACAACCATGTGAGTATCCGTCAACTAGAGGAGATGCTTTTTCTATACCAACAGAGAACATTTGTTAACTGTGATCTCTTACACTGAAATGCATAAAGATCTAGAATTGACTCCATGTATGTTTCCCCCTTAGAGGAAATAAGAGCAGAGATGTGGGAATAGGGAGCTTGTTCCTCCTTATTAGATTAATTATTTCACCTTGCAAGAACATATTTAAAAAAAGGAAAGTATCAAAATAATGTGTGGCTGTACTGTTGGCCATAAGAAGAAGAGATGATCTGATGCCAAAAAATATATTATCTACAACTTTCTCTAAAAATAATGCAAATGCCTATGATTATAATTTTCTTCTAGCCTAGATACTTCTTCATCAAAATACCTACTACAAATAGAAGTAGGAACATAAAGTCTAGCCAAACCATTTTCTATAAATAAAATGAGTATAGTATATAATGTTGTTAAGGAAAGTAAACATTCAGAATTAGTACAATATAATCAGGCCTACTTCCTGTCAGGAAATAAAAGTTTAATGTAGTATTAAACCACATTATGTTATGTTTAAATATAAAATATACCTGTATAAAAATATCATTAAATGGAAATTCAAAAAGTAAGAAAGAACTACTAAGCAATATTTAAAAAAAATTTTTTTTTATTAATTTTAGAGATAGGAATGGAGAGGGAGAGATAGAAACATCGATGAGAGAAAACATCGACTGGTTGCCTTCTGCATGCCCCTCACTGGGGATTTGGCCCACAACCTGGGCATGTGCCCTGACTGGGAATCGAACCAGCGACCTCTTGTTGCATGGGTCGATGCTCAACCACTGAGCCACACTGGCCAGGCCAAACAATATTTTTAATCAAAATACAAAATACATTTCTTCAGCCACTAATCAAATTTTTTCACTATTGATACAACTTGGGAGAGAAAAGAATCCTTCACTGGAAGAGATTATTCAGTCAGTTGGACAGTTTTAGTTTCTTACAAGATATATGATGTTGTGTTAGGCATACAATGCACCATGATTTTCAAATAGGGTGATATGGCCACATAACTGCTAATGAGTTAATGTCCATAGCATTTGGTAAAATTTATAATAATAATTTTTTTAAATTATTTTTTATTTTTTTAATCCTCAACCGGAGACATTTTTCCATTTTTTGTTCAGATAGAGCGGGAGGGAGAGAGAGGAAGAGAGAAAGAGAGAAACATTGATGTGAAGGGACACATCTAGTGGCTGCCACCCGCATGACCAACCAGGGCCGGGGACAAACTGCAACCAAGGTACGTGCCCTTAGTGGGAACCGAACCCGGGTCTCTCTGTACCGTAGGCCGACGCTCCAACTGCTGAGCCAAACCAGCCAGGGCTATAATAATACTTTTTAAAACCCTCATCAAAAAATAACAATAGTAACTTTAGAAAACCACTGAAAAACTGTGACTAACAAAAAGTGTAGGAAAATAGGCTGGTAACAACTAATGAAATTGAAGCAGTAATAAAAAAACTCCCGGCAAACAAAAGTCCTGGACCAGATGGATTTACAAGTGAGTTTTACCAGACATTCAAGAAGAATTCACACTTGTCCTACTCAAACTATTCCAAAAAATTCAAGAGGAGGGAAGATTTCCAAGCTCTTTTTTTTTTTTATCCTCACGAGGACATTTTTCCATTTTTTGTTCAGATAAAGTGGGAGGAAGAGAGAGAAACATCGACATGAAAGGGATACATCGAGTGGCTGCCACCTGCACGATCCAACCAGGACTGGGGACAAACTGCTACCGAGGTACATGCCCTTAGCGGGAACTGAACCCAGGTCTCGCTGGACCGCAGGCCAACACTCTAACCGCTGAGCCAAACCAGCCAGGGCTCCAAGCTCCTTTTATGAGGCCAGCAAACCCAACAAAGATACTACAAAAAAGAAAATTATAGGCCAATATCCCTGATGAACATAGATGCTAAAATCCTCAAAAAACATTAGCAATTTAGATCCAGCAACACATTAAAAAGATCATATACCATGACCAAGTAGGATTTATTTGGGGATGTGAGGCTGGTATAATATTTGCAAATTAATATAAGTGATACATCGCATAAATAAAATGAAGAATAAAAATCACATGATTGTATCAACAGATGCAGAAAAAGCATTTAATAAAATTCAACATCAATTTATGATGAAAACTCTTAGCAAAGTGGGAACAGAGGAAACATACCTCAACCTAATAAAGGCCATATATGACTAACCCATAGTCAACATCATACTCAATGGGAAAAAACTAAAGTTGTCTCCCGTAAAATCGGAAACTAGACAGGGATGTCCACTTTTACCACTCTTATACAACATGGTACTGGAAGTCCTACCCACAGCAATCAGACAAGAAGAAAAAATATGACATCTAAATTGGAAAGGAAGAAATAAAAACTACCATTATTTGCAGATGACATGATACCATATATAGAGAAACCTAAAGATTCCACCAAAAAACGAGAACTGATAAATGAATTCGATAAAGTAGCAGGATACAAAATAATATCCAGAAATTGATGGGATTTTTTTTTTTGGTATGTGTCCCTAGCGGGAACCGAACCCGCAGGCTGATGCTCCAACCGCTGAGCCAAACCAGCCGGGGCTGGAATTTTTATATAACAAAATGAACTATCAGAAATCAAACTAAGAAAACAATCCCATTTATAATTGCTTTATTTTATTTATTTCTTTACTTATTTTTTTAATCCTCACCCGAGGACATTTTTTTTTTCATTTCTTGTTCAGATAGAGCGGGAGGGAGAGAGAGGAAGAGAGAGAGAGAGAGGGAGAGAGAGAGAGAGAAACATAGACGTGAAAGGTACACATTGAGCCCTGGCCGGTTTGGCTCAGCAGTTGGAGTGTCAGCCTGAAGTCCAGAGAGACCCAGGTTCGGTTTCCGCTAAGGGCACGTACCCCGTTGCGGTTTGTCCCTGGCCCTGGTTGGTCGTGCGGGTGGCAGCCACTCGATGTGTCCCTTTCACATCAATGTCTCTCTGTCTCTCTGTCTCTCTCTCTCCCTCCCTCCCTCCCTCCCAGTCTATCTGAAAAAAAAAGAGAGATACACATCGAGTGGCTGCCACCCGCACGACCCAACCAGGGCCGGGGACAAACTGCAACCAAGGTACGTGCTCTTAGTGGGAACCGAACCCGGGTCTCTCTGGACCGCAGGCCGATGCTCTAACCGCTGAGCCAAACTGACCAGGGCTATAATTGCTTTAAAAAGAAAGAAAATCCCTAGCAATAAATTTAACCAAGGATGTAAAAAGCCTGTACTCGGGCCCTGGCCAGTTTGGCTCAGCGGTTAGAGCGTCGGCCTGCGGTCTGGAGAGACCCGGGTTCGGTTCCTGCTAAGGGCACGTACTTCGGTTGCAGTTTGTCCCCAGCCCTGGTTGGTCGTGCGGGTGGCAGCCACTCGATGTGTCCCTTCACGTCGATGTTTCTCTCTCTCTCTCCCTTCCTCTCTCTCCCTCCCACTCTATCTGTACAAAATATGGAAAAATATCCTCAGGTGAGGATAAAAAAAAAAAAAGCCTGTACTTGGAAAATGGTAAGACACTGACAATAGAAATTGAAGAAGCTACAAACAAGTGGAAGCATATACAGTGTTCATGGATAAGAAAAATGAACATAATTAAAATGAGGGATTGAGAAATGCTAATTAAAACCATAATACATTATCACCTGACACCTGTCAGAATGAATACCATCAATAAATCAACAAGCAAGTGTTAGCAAGAATGTGGAGAAAAGGGAACCCTAGTGCACTGTTGGTGGGAATGCAGATTGGTGCAGCCACAAAGGAAAGCAGTATGGAGCTACTTCAAATAATTACAAATGAAACTGCTTTATGACCCAGCGGTTCCACTTCTGGGAAAATATCTGAAGAAAAACACTGATTCAAAAGAATATATGCACCTCTATGTTCATTACATTAGTTACAATAGCCAAGATATGGAGGCAGCTCAGGTACCCATCAGTAGATGAGTGGATAAAGAAGCTGTGGTACATTTACACAATGAAATACTACTTGGCCATAAAAAAATTAGGAAATCTTACCTTTAGCAACAGGATGGACAGACCTGGAGAGTATTATACTAAGTGAAATAAGCCAGTCAGAGGAAGACAAGTACCATATGATTCTACTTATATGTGGAACCTAATGAACAAAATAAACTAGCAAACAAAATAGAAACAGACTCATAGATACAGAGAACAGACTGACAGCTGTCAGAAGAGAGGAGGGTTAGGGGGCTAGATGAAAAAGGTGAAGGGATTAAGAAAAAAACAAAACACAAAAATCACATAGACAGACAACAGTATAGTGATTGCCAGAGGGAAAGGGGTTTGGGAGAGATAGAAGGTAAAGTGGGGAATAAATGGTGATGGAAATAGACCTGACTTGAGGTGGTGAACACACAATACAATATACATATAACGTACTACAGAATTGTGCACCTGAAATCTATACATTTATTAACCACCGTCACCCAAAAAATTCAACAAAAATTAAATAAAAAAGAAAGAACTAGTGTTATAGATTTGGAGATCATTTTTATAAAAGCAATAGTTGAACCTGGCTGGTGTGGCTCAGTGGACTGAGCGTCATCCCATGGACTGAGAGGTCCTGGTTCAATTCCAGGTCAGGGCACATACCTGGGTTGTGTGCTTGATCCCCAGTAAAGAAAGTGCAAGAGGCAGCCAATGGATGTTTCTTTCTCATCAATGTTTCTCTCTCCCTTCCTCTCTCTCTAAAAAAAAATCAATAAAAACATATTTAAAAGAAAAAGTGATAGCAGAAAGTTAACGAAGTTGATAAGCTCTCCAAAAGATAAAATGTAGAGAAATAAAATAAGGTCAAAAAGTGAGTTTTAAAGAATTTCCACTGAGAATCTGAAAATAAATAAGCACAAGCAAAGAAAGAGAAGGAATGGTAAAAAGATCAAAAGTAGAGAAACATGATGGCAAATTTTCATGAAAGACAAGGGAAGAAATGATAGTGAAGTGAGAAGATTTATATGATCTCTGCTTTAATAGAGCTTATAATCTCTAAAGAATGAAAGAAAAGATTTAGAATAAACATGAACAAAATATTACAGATATAGCCTCTGTTGTATTCAGAAGTGGACATTTTGGGGTGAACTGGATGGATTTTATTAAGTGAATCTAGGTAAGGGTTATTTTTAACTTACCTCACAGCTCCTAAGACGGCAGGCCCATATAGGTGTATTAGAAGAAAATGGCTGGAGAGGAGCCAGAAGCGGTTCTTCAAGCATTCTGGGGAGAAATATATATTTAAATACATATTATGAGTTACACATACATATGACATTCAACTGCTTTATTCTCTTAAAGACAAAATATTGAGGTCATCAATAAGAAATTGTAATAATAATGACAGATTGATTTGATAGGTGTATTAATTATAATTTTCTTTAATCATCACTATTTTAGTACTGCTGATGCAAAGGCCCAAGTGTGTTCTTCCATGTACCTGTAGTTCCAACAAATTTATGTATTTTATCTGTCTCTCTAAAAGCTTATTTTATAATCTTCTCATTATATATTATCTTCATTTATAAAAAAAAAAGAGCTAATAAAACATCTTCAGGTGACTTGTTAAGAATAGCATGATATTATGCAAAGTTCTAAAATTAAAGGTCATAAGTATTGTGTGAATTTAAAATATTTTCATAGCCCTGGCCAGTTTGGCTCAGCGGTTAGAGCGTCGGCCTGCGGTCCGGAGAGACCCGGGTTCGGTTCCCGCTAAGGGCACGTACTTCGGTTGCAGTTTGTCCCCAGCCCTGGTTGATCGTGCGGGTGGCAGCCACTCGATGTGTCCCTTCACGTCGATGTTTCTCTCTCTCTGTCTCCCTTCCTCTCTCTCCCTCCCACTCTATCTGTACAAAAAATGGAAAAATATCCTCGGGTGAGGATAAAAAAAAAAAAAAAAATATTTTCATAGAACTAGTAAAAGAATATTAATAATACAAAAAACATGTCTATATTTCCCTAAGTTACTATAAAGTGTTATTTTAAAGCAAAAGTAGCAGCTGAAATAGATGTTAACAAAACACATTTTAAACACTTTACCGCAGAGGAATTAAATGCATAAAAATGTGATGAAATCATTAGTAACTAGAATGAATATTTCTCTATCCTAAAAATTCTACTAGTGTCAGATGTTTTCAGGTTGCTTCAAAATATCACAGGCAAGCATCACTGAAGAAAAGCAGCACTTTGGATCTTTATACCTTCTAGAGTAGCCTCCTTGTTGACAATATGCCATTAAAATAAAGATATATTTAAATAAAAAAAGAAAAGATACATTTGATGATAGCCTACTGTATTTCCTGAATTTCTGATCTTTTCTATAGTCAGCCAGCTTTAGATGTAATGATATTTATTTATTTATTTATCCTCACCTGAGGACATTTTTTCATTTTTTGTTCAGATAGAGTGGGAGGAAGAGAGAGGAAGAGACAGAGAGAGAAACATCAACGTGAAAGGGACACATCAAGTGGTTGCCACCCACACAACCCAACCAGGGCCGGGGACAAACTGCAACCAATGTACGTGCCCTTAGTGGGAACCGAACCCGGGTCTCTCCAGACCGCAGGCCAACGCTCTAACTGCTGAGCCAAACCGGCCAGCCAGGGCTAGATGTAATAATTTTTAAAAATATTTCCATGGTAATAAAAGATACGCTCCTTTTTCCCATTGACTCACTCACCTGGTCACTGTCTTTTGGGGCAATGTTAGGGATGCTTGTGGATGCAAAATATAACTACTGTTATGGTCTGCTAGAGCATCCACTCTTACAGTTGGTAAGTTTCTGTTGCTGGGTTTCTCTTCAGAGGCTTCTTAACCATAGTAACAAGAACAAAGCAATATCAATATCTTGAATAAGACGAAAATGTAACTAACTAGAACTTACATATTTGAAATAGGAAAGGGAAGATATATTCTAAAGATAAAGATAAAACATAATGCTTTATTGAGAACTTCTCTGATAAACTTGTTTACTTCCCAACTATAATACTGACTACTTAAATTCTATAATTAAGTTTTTGGAACTTATATCAAACAGCTAGGATATAAGAGTGGTAGACATAATTATTATACACATTAAAAGTTTCACAATATAATAGGAAAATGTAAAACCGGTTCTTTTTCATTTCTATTCCATGTTTATTATGGTTCTGTAAATTATTTTTTTCCCTTACATTTTAGCTACTGCTAACAAAAAATCATAACATTAAGTTAAAAATATCTACCCTAAATCATTAACTATGAACAAATGACAAAAGAGTGTAGTTATGATGTTAGAAAAGAGATTCAAATAGATGGAAAAGCAAGAGAAGCAAAAGGAAGAGAAAAGTTATATTATTAAATAGGTAAAGAAAAAGATAAAATAAAAAGAAACAGGAAATATGAGTCTCCTTTCTGAATCTGAAGGAACAAAGAAGGGAGGAAAAGAGCAGAGCAAAGAGGATGAAAAGAATCATTAAAAAAAGTAATAACTGACATGACTAACAATATTGATAAAAATACAAATGTAAAATCTTCGCTAGTAGCTATTATCACTCTATTCTTGTTATTGTTGGTGTTATTATTACTGTTATTATAATTAAGAAGAATTTATTTTATGCTCACTGGTCATTTGGGAGGAAGCAAGAGTCAACCAGCTTCACAGAATTCCAAAATGAAATAGACAGCTAACCTAGACAGGAGTTGAAAAATGAACTTAAAATTTATTTGGGATAAAAAACTTTTTCTAATTATTCAGTTCACAACCCTACCCAAATAAATCAATTTTAGTACTGACTTTCATGAGGTGATTTTCCTAAATATATATTTTTTTCTTTAAAACATTCTAAAATCCCCTAGGTCCCATTATTACTCACCCCGGGGACTATTCATATCCATAAGCTGTCCCTGAGGTATAATCACTTGTGCCATTCCTGTCTGGGTAGATGGAATTACATGAAGCATCTGTCCATTTTCTGATGAGCTGGCAACAATCATCTTGGAAGCATTAAAAAATAAATCAGATGCATAAGCCTACAATAATTTAACAGAGTTATTACTTAAATTATTAAAGACATGCCTACCTCTTTGGTCAATACTAATATTTCCCTCATTTATAGATGAAAACACTGAGATACATAAAAAATTTTCCAAAGTCTCACAACTGGTAAGTGGTAAAGCTAGAATTCAAAACAGGCAGTTTAACCCTATGTCCTATGATATTAAACACCTATGGCCTTAGTCATTACACATGGGTGAGATCTAATGACTTAGTAATCTGAACAAGGCTCTAATTAAACTAAATGTACTAACTTTTTAATATTTATTATATTATCCATACATGTTTGACCTATTTTTATGGTAATCATCCATATTTTAAGTCATCTTATCAGTTAAAAAACAGTAACTTGTTAGATGCCTAATTAAACAGTATTTGTTTTTATATCTCTATATTTATATATATCCTGTCCTGATCTACAGGGAATACTAGAGTACCCAAAGTCTAAAAACACAGAGAAAAGTGTATATTTATTATGCTTTTTTTCAGGTTAATATGAACCTATTGACTCAAATTTAGAGGAATGTCAACTAGAAAGGAGTCTGAAGTTGAAGAAAAATATTTGAGCCTATTACTTGAAAACAAGTTTATCTTATAGTTCTAGACTTTTTGCACACCCTGTAAACTTTATTACCTAACATACTACTTTTTACTGACACAATTTTACTGTTTTACCTCTACCTAGTGCAAACACTCCTTATTCATTCCATCTCCCGTTTCCCAGACTTTCCTTTTGCTATGTAAACCATGAAAACATTGCAGATCCCTGACAGAGACTGCACTCCTCCTTTTAAGAGGGTCATTTTGAAAATAATTAAGTTGGAAAAAAAACTAAATTAATAAAAGGAAACCTCAACAAAGTAGAATGCTTTAAACATAATCATTCACATTTTCCAGAAATTAAGAGTAGTAATTATTTCTCTCCCCCAATGTGTATTAAGTTTCTTGAGATAAAAATATCTTGCCATATCACTTCAGCATGAAAAAGCATCTATAAACTCTGAGGATAACTGGTTTACATTTGCTAAGTATATTCTAAGTGGCAGGATTTTACATGTATTATCTTATTTAATGTTCATTACATGCATATGAAGTGTACACAGTTTTATACATGAGAAAACTGTCATACAGAGGTTACAAAATTTATGCAAGGTAACACAGAGTTAGAAATTCAAACCCAAGCAGTCTGATTCCTTTTAATCACTACTCTGTACTGCCTCCTGATAGCTGATGATGTTATTTAAACCTAAAAAAAGACAAAAATAAAACAATACAAAATGCTCTCCTGGACTATAAAAGGCTACAGTAATAATAGTTTTAAATTCTTTGCTCCTTGCTCGGCTGGTGTGGCTCAGTGGTTGAGGATCAACCCATGAGGTCGTCGGTTTGATTTCCATCAGGGTACGTGCCCAGGTTGTGGGCCCAATCCCCGGTGAGGGGCATGCAGGAGGTGGCCAAGCAATGTTCTCTCTCACTAATGTTTCTATCTCTCTCTCCCTCTCCCTTCCTCTCTCTCTAAAAATCAATAAAGAAAAAGAAAACTTTTTCAACAAGCTGTACTTGGTGGGGGATGTTGACAATGGGGAAAGTTATGCATGTGGTAGGGGGTGCAGGTGATATATGGGAAATCTCTTTCCCTTAATTCTATTGTGAACTTAAAACTGCTCTAAACAATAAAATCTATTAAAACAAACAAAATACCTAAAAAGTTCGACTATGTTTTCCAGAATATCACCACTTTCTGATCTTTGGTTCTTTGAAAAAATTACTTTCTTAACACTTTTATGTTTCTTACATTTATTTCCATGCTTCAAGCCACATTTTTCCTATGTCCTTTCTTTTGTTTTTCTTTATTCTCACCTGAGGATATATCTGATTTTTTAGAGAAAGGAACAGGGTGGCGGGTGGCGGGGGGTGGGCATCGATGTGAGAGAAACATCAATTCATTGCCTCTCACATGCACCTCAACCAGGGACTGAACCTGAAATCTAGGTACATGCCCTAACTGGGAATCAGACCCACCACCCTTGGGACCCTTTGGTGTACCGAGCGAAATGATGGTGCTCCAACCAACTGAGCCACGCTGGCCAGGTCACATTTCCTATTTCATAGCTTTAAATAACTGTCTGTATCATCATCTCCTACCCAAAATAATGTAAAAATTACCTGTATAATCACTCTGAATAGAAAGTTTAATACAATTACAAAGAGAACTCTATTTATTTTTTAGTCAAACAAACAACTTTAGCATACTTTTTTAGGAAAGGAACTATGTAATGTTGTAATGTAGTTGTTTCACATCTAGATTATTTACTGCTTATTAACCTCTGCTGGTGATGCAGTATGGTTACAGGAGTTTACCCTTACTTTGCATTTCAGTCCTAAAGTAAGCCCAGAAATTTGTTGAGCCTGAACATACACAAAAAAGCACTTGTCTACACTTGGCTACTTCTCAACCAATTACTCTCAACCCCAGAATTTTAACTAGATTGTAAAGGAGCAAAAGGACAGATATTAACTCTAGAATGCTCTAGATTAGAAATAATAGAAGGTTTAATTTTAGTTAAAATGGTTGTTTACTTGTGCTATACTTTATAATCAAAGTTATGATTTAAAATTTTTATTATGAAATTAGTCAATATTCATTGTAGAAAATTTGTAAAATACAGGTAAACAAAAGAGCCACATTATTCTTCATATTATTATTAATATAAGTATGTTAAGTCAGAGAGCAACTTAAAAGTTTTTGTGTTTTTTTTTTAAGGATTATCTTTATTTTATTATTTTTTTAATCCTCACCCGAGGATATTTTTCTATTTATCATCAGAATAGAGTGGGGGCGGGGGAGGGAGAGAGAGAAATATCGATGTGAAAGAAACACATCAACTGGCTGACTCCCGCACAACCTGACCAGCGCCAGGGACGAACCGCAAGGGAAGTACGTGCCCTTGGCTGGAATCAAACCCGCGACTCCTTGGTCCACAGGCTGACACTCTAACTGCTGAGCAAAACCAGCCAGGGCTATTTTAATTTTTAAATATATTTTTATTGATTTTAGAGAGAGAAGAAGGGAGAAAAAGAGAGCGAGAGAAACATCGATGAGAGAAACATCATCAACTGGCTGCCTCCTACACATCTCTGCTGGGCATACAGCCCACAACCTGAGCATGTACCCTGACCAGGAATCAAACTAACAACCTCTTGGTCCATGGGTCGACATTCAACCACTGAGCCATACTGGCTGGGCTAAGTTCTCTATTTAAATCAAAGCTATCTTTCATCTCTTCTACTCAAACTACAAACGTGGTCATAAATACTTTTATCTAACAGTTTAAAGCAGTATTTTCATATTTATGCTCTGTTTTCAAATGACACACACAAATATATATATATATCTACCTATAAAGATCAGCAAGGGTGTGTCTAATTTCCATATATTGTTAGTAGTCCCACTGCTTCTTTTTCTTCAGGAAAGCACTGTAGCATGTGGCTGAAATGCTACTATAACAATAACCATAAATTCAAACATATACACAAAAAAATAAATTTAAGTTATATGTAAACTCTGGTATTTTAGCACTAGGTCCAGATTATGGTACATTTCTAACTGATCTCAAAGCACCAGTGCGCTTAGACATAGTGGCTGGAGTTACTTATTTGAAGTACTATTTGGTACTAATAAAAGAAAATCTTTTAAAGTCCTTTCATAACTTAAAAATGAATATCATGAAAAAAGTATTTTTAAAGCAATGTAAGTCAATAGTGTCAAGAAATTAGGTAAAAAGATGAAGGGATTAAGAAGTACAAATTGGTAGTTACAGAATAGTCATTGGGATGTAAAGTACAGCATAGGAATATAGTCAATAATGTTATAATAACTATGTATGGCGCCATGTGGGTACTGGAAATATCAGAGCGAACATTTTGTATATGATTGTCTAATTACTACGATGTACCCCCGAAACCAATACAAAATAATACCGAAAGTAAATTGGAACTGAAAAATTAAAAATAAAATAAAGAAATTATGGTAATCTAGTAAGACTAATACAATTTGCTAAATAGCATAAAACTAGTTATTTATAAAATATACTCACCATTTGTGTATTAGAATCTCCCAATGACTGAAGTTCATATTGAATAGGTTGCCCATTTTGGTTCACTAGTTGAAATTGCTTTGCAGAAAGAGTCTGTGCCTGAGTCAGGGGCCCTGGTATATTCTGTGATGTAAGTGAATTATCTGCTTCATGAGTAGTGATAGGTAAAATTCTACCAAGACTATTCTGTCCAAAGGAATGATCCCTGGAGTCCATACAGGTTGAATGCTTTGTAAAAAATAATAAGTAAATAATCACCTGGATGTTTGTAAAATACAACATCACAATTTCAAAAAATAATGTTTATAAAATGAAAAGACAAATTTTCCAGTTAATTATCTACTTTGCACTTTGCAAGAGTTGTCAATTCACAGAATGATACAGACAGAAAGCAGTTCTTAAATGAAATTGTTCATTTTTATTATATTTTATTCCAACTTTATTGAAATAAAATTGTCCACGGAAATACAACTTGAAGTGACGAAATATAATTCAACATAAGAATTTTTCATTGTGCATAAAAGTTTATGAATATATAAAGTTAAATATGATAGAATTGTGGATATAAAATGTTAAAATTCTTGAATACATTAAGTATAACACTATTCCTTAACCATAAAAAGTTAAATGACATGCTGTTTTCCCTCAAAATAGGAAAAAGTCCCCAGTTGAATCCCTACCTCAAATTACCTGAGAATCTGTTTTTGAATCTTCGGAATCATTATGGTTGACTATTAATGAATCATTAGACTGTTCCATGCTGATATCATATTCAATTCCATTTTCTTCTATTATTTAATAGCTGAAAGAGTTCAAAATATCTGATCAACCAAAGCCCTTAATATTTTTACATAATTTATCTCTAGAACAAATCACTCATCTCCCCTACTCTGTTACCCTATGCAATTTAGGTTAAATCATTTCCATTCTATAAATAAGAAAATAAAAATTTTTGCTAAATGACTTGCCAAGGTACCAGAATATATTTAAGGCAGAATATAGTGTTATGTAGTTCTTTCTTCCTATCCTTAAGTACAATCACATACTGGTTTATTAAGATTGTTGTTATGTGGTATATACTGTTATACCCTTCAAATATTTCTAAAATTCTCAGTTTGCAAAGATTTAATAAAGATAAAGTTTTTTGCCTGACCAGTGTGGCTCAGTGGATTGAGCCATTATCCCATGGACTGAGAAGTCCTGGTTCGATTCCTGGTCAGAGGACATGCTGGAGTTGCAGGCTTGATCCCCAGTAGGGGGCATGCAGGAGGCAGTCATTCGATGTATCTCTCTCACATTGATGTTTCTATTTCTCTTTCCCTTCCTCTCTAAAAAATTTATGAAAACATACTTTTAAAAAATGAAAAGACAACCTACTGAATGGAAAAAGATATTTGCACATCATATATCTGATAAGGGGCTAATACCCAAAATATATAAAGAACTAATCCAACTCAATAGCAAATATACCCCCAAATAATCCAATTAAAATGGGCAAAAGATCTGAATAGACATTTTCCCAAAGAAGACATACAGATGCCAATAGGTACATGAATATGCTAAGTGAAATAAGTCTAAGAATCACAAATACCATATGACCTCTCTTATATGTGGAATCTCAAAAGAAAAAAACCTAAGATACAGAGAACAAATTGATGGTTACCAGAGCGGGATGTAGGGGATCGTGAAGGGGGTCAAAAGGTTAAAAAAAAAAAAAAAAAAGATAAACTAAGTGGGAAAATAATCTATTAGCTAGACAGAAACCCTTAGAAAAAGTAAAATCTTTTTTCTGGTTTTAGAATTGAATCCACATATTGATCCAATTGCAGACTCGCAAACCTTAAATACATACTATTAAGTGAAAGCCAGTTTGAAAGGCTACATACTATATGATTGCAAATATATAACATTCAAAAGGCAAAACTATAGACATAGTAAGCAGACCACTTGTTACCAGAGATTGGGAGTGTGGGGGTAATGGAGGAATAAATAGATGAAACATAAGAGACTTTATGGTGACGAAACGATTTTTTTATAATACTACAGTGGTGGATACAAGACATTATACATTTGTCAAAATCCATAAAAATGTATAAAACAAAGGGTGAACCTTAATGCAAACTACAGACTTTTGTTCATAATCAAGTATCAATATTGGTTCATTAATTTTAAGAGATATATCATGCTAATGCATGATGTTAATAATAGGGAAAACTGTATGCTGGAGAAAGGGATGAGTGGTGGGAGAAGAAATATAGAAATCTTTTTATGACCTGTTCAATTTTTCTATAAATCTAAAAATGTTCTTAAAAAGTATTTTGCCCTGGCTGGTTTGGCTCAGCGGTTAGAGTATTGTCCCTCAGACTAAAGAGGCGCGGGTTCAATTCTGGTCAAGGGCACGTACCTTGGTTGCAGTTCGGTCCCCAACCCTGGTCAAATTTGCATGGAGGCAACCAATCGATGTGTCTCTCTCACATAGATGTTTCTCTCTCTCTCTCTCCCTCCCTCCCACTCTATCTGCAGATAAATGGAAAAATATCTTCGGGTGAGCATTAAAAAAAAAAAAAAAAAAGCAATCACAGTGACTATAAATTAAAGCCAGTAACAAATCACAGTATATAAACTCCAAAATTATCTTGACATTTTTTATTAAATTATTACACTCTAGAAAGTGTTGGAATTAGGGAGTATAAGAAAATATATTATTTTTTCATTAACTTCTAAAATAAAAACTGAGAGGGTTTTGTCAGTAAAATGGTATAAACTAGTTGAAGAGCCCTGGCCAGTTTGGCTCAGCGTTGAGCATCGGCCTGTGGACCAAAGGGTCTCGGGTTCAATTCCCAGTCAATGGCACATACCTGGGTTGCAGTTCGGATTCCCGGTCCTGGTCAGGATTATTCGGGAGGGAACCAATAGATGTGTCTCTCTCACATTGATGATTCTCTCTCTGTCTCTCTCTCTCTTCCCCTCCCTCTCTTCCAATCAATCTGAAAAAAATCAATGAAATCCTTGGTGAGGATTAATCAAAAAAAAAAAATGTTGAAAAGAGCATTCTGTAGTCATATACTATGGATTTGAATTTCAGCTTGGTACTTACTTGTCAAATTAGTTAACCACTACTCTGAGCTTTAGTTTTGTCATCTTCAAATTGGGAAGAATATTGCATCTATCACATAGGGTCCTTATAAAGATTAAATAATGCATACAAAGGGCTTGGTGAAGTTCCCAGTACACTATGAGTGCTCAAAAAATTACTTTACTATCTATAAGTATGCAAACTAAGGTCAAATTTTCACCTATCTAAATAGATACCTAAACAGACTTAATAAATCCTTACAATATAAAAATTTTTATACTTTTAGATGACTAATAGGCTGTATTTCAATATTACTGTTTTGTCTTAAAATTCACGCATCTCATAAATGTAGTAGGAAAAAAACTGGGGGTTAGTCTAGATTTGATGAAAAAGTCCAAACTATTACTTTCTCTTAACTTCAATTTCTAGTTCTTTAAAATGAGGAGTCAGTATGAATGATTTCTAAGATCCTATCAAGTTCTAAGATTTTTGTTTCTAATAGTTGATTATCCTGATGATTTTTAAAATTCATTTAACTACTGCCCTGTTCAGTTTTGCTCAGTGGTTAGAGGGTGGGCCCATGGACCAAAGAGTCAGGGGTTCGATTCCGGTCAAGGGCACGTACCTTGGTCGCGGTTCGGTCCCGGGGCCCTAGTCCGGGTCGGGTGGGAGGTAGCCAATCAATGTGTCTCTCTCCCATCAATGTTTCTCTCTCTTTCCCTCTCTCTCCCTCCCACTCCATCTGAAGATGAATAAAAAAATATCCTCAGGTGAGGATTTAAAAATAACAATAATAATAATAATAAAATTCATTTAACTACTATTGATTGACTGACTTATAATGTGTATTGAGCAGAAAAACAATTCTATCCAGAGAGAAAACTTTTATAAAGTTTGATTTAACTGAAAATAAGTCCTACTGATGGACTTATTAAAACTGAAATAACTGCCCTGGCCAGTTTGGCTCAGCGGTTAGAGCGTCGGCCTGCGGTCCTGAGAGACCCGGGTTCGGTTCCCGCTAAGGGCACGTACCTCGGTTGCAGTTTGTCCCCGGCCCTGGTCGGTCGTGCGGGTGGCAGCCACTCGATGTGTTCCTTTCACATCGATGTTTCTCTCTCTCTCTCTGTTCCTCTCTCTCCCTCCCACTCTATCTGAACAAAAAATGGAAAAATGTCCTCGGGTGAGGATAAAAAAATTAAAAAAAAAAAAACTGAAATAACTGCCCTCGCCGGTTTGGCTCAGCGGTTAGAGCGTCGGCCTGCGGTCCAGAGAGACCCAGGTTTGGTTCCCGCTAAGGGCATGTACCTCGGTTGCAGTTCGTCTCCATCCCTGATTGGGTTGTGCGGAAGGCAGCCACTCGATGTGTCCCTTTCACATCGATGTTTCTCCCTCTTTCTCCCTCTCTCTCCCTCCCACTCTATCTGAGCAAAAAATGGAAAAATGTACTCGAATGAGGATAAAAAAAAAACTGAAATAACTGCTGTCATGAATAGAACTTAATTTTTAAAGTAAATTAAATATACTGAAATACTGTCTAAACATGACATTAAGATTATAAAATATTTTTGAGCTCTTTATTTTTATATTTAAATATAAGTATTTATGATAGAATAGATGACTATTAATTTGTCACAGCTATAAAATAATTTAATGTTTACTGAATGCTTTTATACTTAATAATTATTAGCTAGAATTATTAACAATCACTCTACTATTCTGTGATGTAGGACCTATTAGCATCATTTTACAGAAAAGGAAATGGAAGCTCTCTGCTCAAGATTATAAAGCTATCATTTACTGAGCACTTACCATAGCAAAGAACAAGGCTAAAAGTGTTTTACGTATGTCACTTATTTAATCATTTCAACAACCCTGTGATTCAGTTACTTTCTCCAATTTCCAGAGAATGAACTAAAACTCAGGCAATTAAGTAACTTTACCAAGATTACAAATATACTAAGTGGCTGAGCAAAGACTCAAATATCCATGCATTGATTCCAAAGCCCATTCTTGACTATTATAATAGAAACTCTTTTGAGGTAACAAAGTTCCTTCCTTCCTTCATTAATCATAGTTCTGTATTTTTTTTTCTTTTCAGAAAGGCAGACTGACACATGCAGCGCCTCATTTGGATGTATCTGGAGTCTTAGAAGCTTGACTACCCTACGTTCTCCTACAAATGGACCTTGAGAGCTTGTTTGGAGGATCTAGCAGGGGAGCACAGCTACTCATATACCCTTGACGGAAGTCTGGTCCTCTCTTCTAGGGGGAAGGTCGTTCTCTTCCACCGAGTGCCCAGCTTCGGGAGGGACGCACATGGATCGGTGAGGGAGGAGGGGGACACCAGCCTAGCCAGCCAGATCAGCCAAATCAACCCTGGCAATCAATGGGGTGACAGGTGTCACAGCCAGATCGCCCTCACATCCTTTGAATCTTTTTTTAAAAATGTTATCTTTACTTTTGAAAGTATTACAGATGTCCCTCCTTTTTTCCCCCATTGACACTCTCCTCCCTGCTCCTGCCCTCCTGCATTAAATCTTTTATTTTTTTGATAGGTTAACAAATTAAAGATGTTAAAAGTTCTTTGTTTATTTGTTCTCAACTTTTCCTTAGTTGTAACTTAATTAGAGGCCGTAGCTAATACACAAAAGCCCTCCTGCAAGCAATCTAAAGACCTGTGACCTCACCAGAAAGCTCTAACTATGCAGGCATTGACCAACAGGAAAATACTCTGTAAATAGATTCAAAAGAGCTTGGGAAGAAGAGGTTAAAAACTGCAAATAGCTTAGAGGCAAGACTACTAAAAACTTACTCTTAGTTTCCTAAGGTGAATTGATCTTATTACAAATTATCCTCATTGTCCCACGTTTTTTTCATTTTATTTAATTTCTCTTACCCTATCTAAAATCTCATCAATAAAATTGTGTTAAAAAATTTTTTTTAATGTATTGATTTAGAGAGAGAGAGGTAAGGGGAGAGAGAGGGGAAACAACGATTTGTTGTTTCCCTTACTGATGCATTCATTGGTTGCTTCTTGTATGTGCCATGACCTGGGATGGAACTAGCAACATTGGTGTTTGGGTATGACACTCCAACCAACTGAGCTACCCGGCCAGGGTTCATCAGTGAAATTTTCTCTGGAGTTAATAAGCATTTTCTCTCAAAAAAAAAACTCTGGAGAGAATATCAATAATTAAGTAATGTATGTGAATTTACATAAGGATGGCTTTCTTCCTTTAAAATAAGTTAAAAACAGCTACCACATAAAGTTTAATTTAGAGGTGAGAAAGCAAGAACATCTGAAGCTCAGAGCATTTAAAGGGATCCAGCAGGCCTGAGCTAGATGCTGCAGTGAGAAAGTATGGCAGGACGAATATCCCTATACATACTAATGAAGGGGTGGGATGATGTTAAAACAAGGAAGATTGCCAAACATAAACCACTTACTTCAGAACTTTTCCCAGGCTGGGATTTTGCCAATGAAAGAAAGGTAACTTATTTTTCTGGGAACTCAGAACTCAAAATTTTCTTTTCAATATGTACTACAATACAACTATACTATAGGTTAAACAAACTTTTTGTAATTACACTGGGAAAATACTACTTAAAATAGTTTCTATATGCAAAATTGGGTTGCCATATCTACTGACCTAACCCATTGCTGAATTGGTGATTAAAAGTACATTTTTAGCCTGGTTGTTGTGGCTCAGTGGTTGAGCGTCGATCCATGCACCAAGAGGTCGCTGGTTCAATTCCCCAGTCAGAGCACATGCCCAAGTTGTGGCATGCTCCCCAGTGTGAGTCATGCAAGAGGAGACCAATCAATGTTCTCTCTCATCAATATTTCTCTCTCTCTCTAAAACCAATGAAGAAAAAATGATTTTTTAAAAAAAGTACATATTTAAGATACAGACATCATTTAAAAAAATTATTTGAGCCCTGGCCGGTTTGGCTCAGCGGTTAGAGCATTGGCCTGTGGTCCAGAGAGACCTGGGTTCGGTTCCCGCTAAGGGCAAGTACCTCCGTTGCAGTTTGTCCCTGGCCCTGTTTGGGTCGTGCAGGTGGCAGCCACTTGATGTATGCCTTTCATGTGGATGTTTCTCTCTCTCTCTCTTCCACTCTATCTGAACAAAATATCGAAAAATGTCCTCGGGTGAGGATAAAAAAAAAATTTTTTTTAAATTATTTCAATGCAGTGTAAAGTAGTACTCCTTCCTTCCTTAATCTTTCTACCAATTTGCATTGCCTTTTACTATGTCTAAGTAAAGTTTTTTTAAAGAATAAGACATTAATATTAAATAGCTAGTTATAAAATGTTCTTTTCCAACAGGTAGCCATAAACAGAACAAAGTACCAATATATAAAGTGTAATTTGACTTTTTCCTTCATAGGTAATGGAAAATAGTTAACTCTTATGTAACTGTTGCTTTCAACTAATTAAAAATAAAATTATTACCTTTAGGCAGTAGCTCAAGTTTAAATTCCAGGCCTCAAGCATTCTACTACCCCCAAAAATGCCCTCTTGTCCACCGAAGTTCTTCCTTTCTGCAGCACTAAAATCATGATAGTAATGGCTTCATTTATGCGAAAGCTATAATTAGGTCTTCAATAGCAGCATTTTTCTGTAATGAGAAGGTATTCAATGTATATTTTATTTTCCTATACATAAAGAAAAATACTAGATTTTGTTATGCAAGTTTTATTATCAAATAGCCATTACAAGCACAGTGGAACCCTCAGCTGACTCAACCGGCGAGAACTGAAGACTAGAACTAACTTTACAGATAACTGTCCTTGACCTGCTATAGGTGACTTAACCTGTTTCCTTATCTAA